AGAACTGTGCCACGCTGGTTTCAAATCCAGTCATATTGCGCTAAAGATGGGGCCTGAATTATCACAGGAGAGAGCCTTGTTGCCAGTTGGTGTGTAGGTAATGGGTTGGAGGAGTTGTGTGGCTGTTAATAGACTAGAACTTTTTCAGATCTTTTAATTTTATTGCCATTGTAACTCCATTTAAAATAATTCACAACACAGCTGCTCTCCCTTTGAGAAAATGTGTCATCCCGAGTTCAGAGAGAGTTGTTCGATCTAGTTCCTCCGAGAGTGCAGGCCTTCGAGATGTAGACCCACGTTCGATCAACAATCACTCTCTTATAAAAGCTAAAAGCCTTTGGTCTCACCATACCATTGTACTCAGTTCATTTCATATTAAAGTCTGGATTTGTTCCACTGAGCTCTGTTGACAGGTGGAAGGGGTTAACTCCTTTTGCAGTTTGAAACGATTGAAGTTTCAAAAGTATGTAAAGCACCGGAGTGAGTGAGGCATTTAGCATTTAGCCTAGCTTTAGCATTTAGCCAAGCTCTAGCCATCCCCTTTGCCACTAACAGAGCCTGTAGGGAGTAGAGCCACAACATCTTTACAACAATGACATTTGCTAAACAGGCCTCTTGCGCCAGCTTTGGAGCCAAACTAGAAAGGATAACCGCATTCGCAGCCGCAATTGCCAAACTACAACCAGCAAACTTGCAGCAAAGTCTTGACGTCACGACACTTGCTGATTGGTCGGAGGGACTTCAACCGAGGAAACTGCTGCCACTAGGATCAGACCCAGACGCACATGTAGGAAATTATTATGGATCATTATTATAGATCCATGCTGTAGTCCCACCGTCACACTCACATTTATTCAACCCAAAACTATTAAACATGTGTTTAGTGATAGGACAAACCGGAGTGTCCGGAGGAAACCCATACACAGACACAGGGAGAACATGCAAACCCCACTCGGAAAGCCCCTGTTTCCACCGGGTGCCTTTTAAATCTTTACACATTTCTGATAATGTTTTATTACCCCATCTGTGAGAAAGAGGTTTATCTAACGACTTGAATTGTTTCCAAATCAGAACCACATGACAAAACCAACAACCGAGTTATCCGAGGAATCCCTGTGGAGAAAGACATGATAGATTCCATCGATGTTGGCATATCGGGCGAAAAGAACGCGTCTAAGATATCAAATATGCATGATTTTACTTGTCCGAAATCAGAAAGTGTATTTTGGATAGAATGTAATAGAAGGTTTTGTCCTGTTGCAACAAGTCAGTAGTGAAATGCTGAGTCAGACAATGGGCACTAATGGGAGAATATGTCAAAGAAGAATACATAATTACACAGAACATCAGCTGCTTTGAGGCTGCCGTGTGGTTGGAGTGGTGATCTGGCACTATGCGGACGCATTAAAAGCATGTTGAGGTATAAAACCCTTAATTTGATATTTGACATGGCTTTTACACCATTTACTGGTGCCACAATTTGTGTTTGAGTCACAGAAGCTTCGTTTTCACCAGCCCTACACTGCAAAAAATGATGAAATATGATGTAATAAAGGCTTGAAAGGTGTTTTTTTTCTTAATTTGAGCATATTTTGATTGTCTTAAAATAAGATTTGCTAATGGTACGAAGCAATTTAGTCTTAATTCAAGAACTGTTGCCTGATTTTCTCATTCAAAGGAAGACATTTATTGTATCTTTTTTAAAACAAGATCATTTTGCTTTGTTCTATTCGCAAATCTTGTCTTAAGGAAGTCAGAATGTGCTAAAATTATGATATATTTTCACTTTTTGCAGTGTACAAAGCCCCACACTGCTAGTCCATCCATTTATCCTTGTATCTTGGAATAGTGTTAAGTACCAAAGAGCAGATGAGATGGCAATTCTGTATTCTTGATTATATAGCATGACTGTTTCAACATGTAGATTGTGTTTTTAATGTTGTAATATTTCACATTTATTTAGCATTAGCATTATTAAGTCTCTCAAATAAATAATTGCAAGAGAAAAATGTTATATGATTTACATAATGTACAGTACCTTCTTTATATTCAATACACTGTATTTTTCAGATTATAAATCACAGTTTTTGTCATAGTTTGGCCAGCAGTGTACCTTATACTCTGGAGTGACTTATGTGTGAAACCATTACATGTTTTATCTTACAAATTTAGATTTTATTTACTATAAATTGTCAAATATTAGCCCGGGATATTAACAGACATATTAACAGACATATACGGGTCCTGAATACCTTTGTCTAATTTAGGACTATAGCTTTTGTTGTGTTGTAGAAATAAGACTACAGTATTTTTGTGTATTACCTACATTTTTGTTCCTACTCTATGTGAAAACTACATCTCAGAGATAATTGACGGATGATTGACCATGAAGTTGACTCAATATGAAATGTCTATTCTTGGTCTTAGATTTTATTAAATACCCCAAAAAATGCAACTCCAGTGCGACTTATGTATTTTTCTTCTTTATTATGCATTTTCGGCTGGTGCGATTTATACTCCGGAGCGATTTATAATCCGAAGAATACGGTACCTCAACATATATTGATTTTTGCACTCACATATAGAAACAAGTAAATCATTGCCTTGTTAATATTGTTCAATATCATAAATCATGTGTCATTGTGATGAATCATTTTACTCAGAAAGAAGGGCTGGTGGAGACGAGCCATTTCTCACGGCAATGCAGTTATAGTTAGTTAATTTGTCACTGGTTAGTTTATTATTTAGTCATTAGTCACCAAGAAACAAGATGACTACATGTGACTCCCAACACGCAGACGTCAAACACTGAAAGATTCAGACTGGAGCTCTTCACTCAAACCTCATTTAATTCCTGTATCAGACGCAGAGGAGAGTATAGGTTACTACTATTTATGAAAGAAACCAGTCCTCAAATTTGATTATTTTCTCACAAGGATCAATGATGCACAATTGTTTCGTTCTTGCGTTTTGTGAAATGCTATGGGGCCTGTAAGACTTTTTTAAAGAAATTACCATATTTGTGAACAATGATTCCCTCAAAATTGCATGTTTTACTTTGAGCACAGTCTGACTTTGGACATAAGAAGTACATGTTTTCTTATATAGCGCATGTATTTTTTTTTTTTTAGACAAAGGTCACTCAAAGCGCTTTAAATTGTTGAGAGTTAACAATTAAATACGTAATAAGGCAGCTGATTATGTTAGCGTAGCATTGACCATAGCAAGACCCTTACCACCCACCGTCTTCTTAGCAGGTGATAATTTTATTTTAAAGCTGGGATACCTAACTTTTTAATCACAATAAATGAAACTATGTACAATCCATGTAACAAGTTGATTTACTGTTACAAGACTCTTTCTATTGGGACTAACAACAGGGATTATTTCATGTATATTGTGTGTACTTAGTGTGCACTTGTATATAGTAGTAATTTTCAAGAAATTTTATGAAGATTTTCTATGATTGCCTTTTACCTATTTTTACTTTTCATCTTTTTTTTAAACTTGTTTGCACCTTGAACCAAAGCAAATTCCTAGTTTGTGACCTCCTGTTACTTACAATGGCAATAAAACCAAAATCTGATTCTGATTAAGAGTGGAAAGTAAGGTACCCTTTGAGTAAAAATGCTTGTATCATATCTAAAGGGAAATGATACGAATATGAACTGACATCATCGTAATATGATGTTTTAGTTGCTCTCGCCAGTCTCTATGGACGCCCAGGTGACTCAAAGACCAAATATTTACTGTACAAACACTGAATAATACTAGCATGTTTCTCATCTACTCTAAATCTTTCCTATTTTCCAGCGTGACTGGAGAGCGGCGGGTGATTCATGTGTTACCGGCAGAGTACCTCCATTATATCTGATTGTATCTAGAAAAGCGGTGATTGTCATTTAAAAGCAAATAACCTTTCTTCTCAGGCCATCGCGTGTCTCGAGGCGGCTGCAAAGACATCCCGCCTCCAGATGGACAATAATTTGTGCATAAACATCTACAAAAATGGTCCAGGAGAGAGTAGTTTTGAAGTGAGCTGGTTGTTTAATGACCACATCAAAGGTTAGAAATACTACTGCTCATGTTTCACTTTTGCAGGTAGAATTCACTAATGGTTTAACACGAGTAAATTGATATGTGGCACCATCTAGTGGCGACAGAAATAAAGAGTTTGTGTGACTTATTAAAGGAATATGGGAGGATTTTCTACTTCCGGGTGGATCATCAAGACTATTGTCCTAGGTGTGTTCACAGCAAATCTAAAATGACTATTATTCTTTTCAAAAGCAGACATATCAAAGAGATATTGCAGACAAAATCAAAGGAAAAGATTGACAAACGCATTTTTGGTGAAATGTTAAAAGACGAGATCAGCCTCTGATTGGATAATTATACTGTGACTCAAAAATAAAAGGTCCTCAGTGACAGAGATGAACTCCCACAGATTAACATTACCACACCATCAGGAAATCACTGACCCCAGGTCCGTGACACATGGTAAACTGTTTTCTTATAGCACCTGTGAGTGGACAGAAGGATTTGGATAAATGAAAAACATAACATATCTTCTGATTAGTATAATACAATTTTTGGCCTTCTGTTACATTTTTGTACCCCTCCTAATGGTCAATCATTCTGGTGACAAGTTCTCGTCAAACAAGACCAGAAAGTTTTTGGAGAGGGCGGTTCTTTCCTTAAATTCCTAACATTATGACACTCATCAAACTAGTTCCTCACTTTCAAAACAGTTTGGTTTTATGGGTTAAGGTTAGGGTAAGAATATAAGCCACGTATTTATTCTTTAGTTTTCGTCCCGCTGTGGGACAAATAAAGGATCTCTTAATTTTTATAACAAGATATATACTCAATCTTTCTGTTGGGACATACAACATGTATTATTTATGATAATACATTTAGGTACCCAAGCTTTAATAAATATATAATACCATTGAGAGGAAACATAGATGGTTTACTGTTTTTCAGTGACATTTTCCGGTTCAATTATCCTTGTCCATGCTTCCTGTTCCATCATCGTCCAGGTTTATTGGCGCTGCTGTATTTCTGTTGGAAAAAAAGCAAATATAAACACACGCAGACACACAAACATTGAAAAGATAGCACTACATATATAATAAACAATCTTAAAAAAATACATAGTAAAGTAATCAAAAGCTGATCTAAAATCATTGCAATCTTTGTACCTCTAATACAATATTTAATGGAGTACATTAAATTAATGCCCTCTAATGGCAATTTGCCACAAACTATGCCACAAATTATAGTTTGAGATAAACCTCAATTCATGATTAACTAATTGTTACTGCTTTGTCTGAATTGCTTTTCTGACTTTTCTGCAGGGTTTAAAGTAGCTCATAGCTCAATTTAAAGATTTATGCCATTTTCTTCAAACTTCTCAGGCAAAGCAATGTCTTAGAATTGTGTTATTTGTACGTCAATACTTACTCCTTAACACTAGGACCGCCGTGCTCTAAACATACCTTGCACCGCCCCCTGCGGTCAGTTGACCGCTATGTATTTTGCGCTGATACAGCCTTTTGCCAAATTGATTGTTCACTAAACCAGAACTTGATGTTGCAAGGAAATCGTGATCATAATGAAACTGTGTAAATTATTTGTCTAAATACGCTAAGTAATTGTAATTCTAGCCGAAATAAAAGGCTAAGATGACACATTGTGCGTGTACTGATCCATCAAAATTACAATGACTTTTCAGGGTAGATTTATTTTGTAACTTTGCAAACACCTAAAAGGTTGGTCACTATATGTTAAATTTGACCCAGTAACAATATGTAAATTCAAACAATATAAATGATAGTTTAGAAAAGCACAGGACCATAACGTCTTCGCGCTGCTATATGCGTCTACTTCTTACTTCATCTCCAGACTGTTTGCTCTTTCCAGCCGAAATCACCGTGGGAAATATTATCTAGATAATAATAATATTCGTATTGACACAAGATCATCAGCTAGGCTACCATCGTCAATGTACAATCTTCAATTTTACACGGGACACGTTATATATATATATATATTTGTATTTATTTGAGACAAGCAGTGCTCTTTATGATCAGAAGAAAATTATAATCATTGCCTTGCAGTGCGCGCTGTGCAGAATAACACACAGTGTTATCTGGATGAAATAAGAATGATATCCTTATTGATATGATATGAGGGCCGCTTCTGCCCCACAGTCGCTCTCCTCCTGCAGTGTCCGCGGGTGACGAGAGGCCTCACAGCGCTCTCTCTGCACTCTGCCTTGATAGTTCATCTAATTGTTCTATTTTATTGCGATATTGTATTCTGCTTTATTGCCTTCTTCTATGTATAAATATAAGAATGTAATTGATGATGAATGAAAAGGCAGAATGGAGCGACAGCGCGCACACAGACACCTGCGTATGGCTGGCATTACGCGGGTCATGTGCGTTATTGCTTCTGGACTTGTTACAGTACAACACTGCTGTCCGTGCCGTGAATGCACTATGGGTTTACGTTCAGATTTAGAATATTATAGGTGTTCTCCCCGCTGTCGCTTTCCACCTCAAAATGTGACATCTCACCTCCGTAGACTGTTCTCATTCAATATCTTTTCATACCGTGTTCTTGCAGCTCTATTCATTTTGTACTCCTCTCAATTCAAAACTCTTTCTCTCTCCCAAATAATAAAAAAACAAGTCCCTTTAGAGTCTAATGACAACATATTAATACATTTTTATAAGGCGCGAAAAAACCCCGGGAAAGGTTACTATGACAACAGTCGCCCCTGCGCCATGTATCCCTATGGGGCAGCAGAAATGGCTGTGGTTTAGAAAAGTTAAAATGCGTGTAAATCTTGTTTTCTTTACTTTTTCCAAAACCAAAACACACCAAAATATAAGCAACAAGTACCCAGTAAAAGTCATAAAATTTCAACTTCTGGCGTTTTGTTTTGAATACACTAATTAGCATTTTAAAGTGAGTGACGGTCAGTTGACCGCTAGGGGCGCTCCTAGTGTTAATCAAATTTCACTGGAGGCCTAAAGGAGGATAAATCTGGGACTTTACACTTACTTACAGAAATATTGGGCCTCATTCACGAACGGTTCTTAGGAACAGATTTGTACGTAAATCCTACTTACGCGGTTTTTACGAAGAAAGTGGCATTCACGAATATTTCTCGTAACCAGAATTTCTCTTGGGCAAGTACAAATCCTACGAGTCCTCAGGAGCACTCGTACGCATTCAGTGCCGACATGTTCACATGCGGGGGTTGTCCTCTTTGGTGAAGTTGAATAAAAATACAACATTCCAGTGATATGTCCGTCATATCGATGTATGTATTTATTTATTTGTAGTAATCTTTATTAGTAATCTTTATTTATATACCGCCTTTTTCACTGCAGATCTGGCCTACTTTTTAATTCATTTTGAAATGAAATGTGCCAACGCTTTATCAAATACATTGGAAATCTTGCCGTGTATTAGTGACCCCTTCCTATTTATAGGGGGCATTTCTTTATCCACGGGCCACAGAACAACGGCATATATACTGCTGCTGCAGGAGGTTACTGGGTCCGCGCTGAGTCTCTGCGCTGGTCTCTCCTATGGATCTATACGGGTCTGCGCTGGTGTCTCCCATATACGGGTCTGCACTGGTCTCTCCCATGGATCTGTACGGGTCTGCACTGGTCTCTCCCATGGATCTATACTGGTCTGCACTGGTCTCTCCATACGGATCCGCGCTGGTCTCTCAAGTCTGGTCTATGCGGTCTCTCTTCGGTCCGCGCTGGTCTCTGCGCACCGGTCTCTCCAGTCAGGTCACTACAGTCTATGCGGTCTCTCCAGTCAGGTCACTCCAGTCTATGCGGTCTCTCTATAGGTCCGCGCTGGTTTCTGTGTGCTGGTCACTCCAGTCTCTCCTCGGGTCTGCATTGGTCTCAGCGCTGGTCCGCGCTGGATCTCCTCCCAGGGTCCAAAATATTTTGAGATTAATCTCAAAACATTTTTAGATTCATCTTTAAAATAATACATAATATATTTTTAAATTAAGCTCATAACATTTTGAGATTAATCTCATCATATTCTTAGATTAATCTCATAATTTTGCTAGTTCGACTTTATTATCATAATATTTCGACTTTTAAGTCAACATTTTATAACTTTATTCTCAGTCTGGTAAAAGAAGAAAAAAGGGTGACTTTTGCTCCGTGTAAAGGCCTGTTGCTGTTTCCTCTGCCGTCTGCACACGGCCCTGCAGTCCCTTATATGGGCATTAGTGGGCGGTTACTTATGCTAAGTACCTATGCTAATGAAGCACCTGGCACGCGCGCTCTACTTACGAGGAAATGGGATTCATCAATCTGAGAGAACAGCTGCGAACAATTCAGCGGCTTACGAGTGCGTTGATGAATCCCACGTGGGGACTTCTTAGAAATCTACTTAAGGACAACTTGAGAAGAAAGTTGAGTAGTTTCTTACGAAGTTATTCGTGAATGAGGCCCATTGTTCTTAATTCTAGCTTCTCCATTATGCTAAAGTTGGAGTGATTTTAGATTTGCTTTTTGCTTCTTTTGTTCCGCTAAAGCTGGAGATGTTATACTTGCTTCGTTTTTATGCTAAAGCTAGAGATTTTATTTCATTTTAGAGTTATGGTTCATTTATCTTGCTGTGTGCTCCTCATTCCTACTGTTCTGTAACCGGTGATGCAACACTGACATTTCCCCACTGTGGGACAATTAAAGGATCTCTTTATCTTCATATGTCACACACCTTGTTGATGTTGGTAGAACGAGGGTCTGGGAGGAGGCGGTGAGGTCCAGCTCTCCTCGGATCGCTTCTATCATCAGGTTCTGCAGCGTGGCCTGACACACCTCCTCCATCAGGTCTAACAGCTCGGCTCGGACCGGCTTCTCCTCCTCACCAGGACTGTCTTGGCTCTCTGCGTTCACCTTGAATTGGTCTGAAGACTCAGGTTTGTGTGAGTGACGGGTCTCCTGGAGCTTGTGTGTGTCATCGACCAGGTATCTGCGGGGTCAAAGTTGATCCATTTCTCAGAACCTGAATACTTAGTTTTGATTGTGCCTGTGTCTTGTTACTTACTCTTGCAAACTAGGAATTTGCTAAGTAGTACACACTAAGATGGAAATGGGCTTGCAGTATTTGTAATAGGTAGTATTGTAGTTAGTTTTATAAGTATTTTTTGGGGTGTTAAAAGAGTCATTCCTTAGCTTAGGTGCCAAAAGAATGGAATTTATACTTGACTTCCTGAAACTGGCTTTCCAAAAAAATAAAACATACATTTTCATGTATTGATTTTTACTTTTTCTATCTTTTATCAGTTACAGGGCTCCACCTTTTGTCGACTAAAGGGTTGACTAATAATTGCAATTTTTCACTCTCATGCACAAGTACAGTTCCAACTACATTATTTTGTAATAGTTTACATGTATGAAGAAATGTGTGGTCTTTTGTTTGGTGGATTTGAGTTGCAAATGTTCTGATTTAAATGTCCTAATTGATTGAACTCAACGCATTACTTCATCATAACTTAGAACAAATTATCAATAAAAGCATTATGCGTAATGTATAAGGAACGAATATTCCAATGCTAATTTTAATCAGACGGATAAAAATAATAAGAAAAATATGCTTTCAATCATTCATTATTTATGTAAACGTATTTGCATGTGTATACTGTAAGCGCAGATGGCAACATAACAATGTGCAAAAGTATTTCCATTAAAGGAGTGTAAATATTGTAAATACTGAATATATAATTTCTGCTCAAATGAACAAAATCAATCAATCAATCAAACAAACAAACTAAGACAAAGATCATTTGGATATTCACAAATATTAAATATTCCCATTAGCTCTCCGGTCAAATAAAAAGTATTGGACTTTTCATTGACAGGACAGAGGGCTAAGAAAGTAAGTAAGTAATCTTTATTTATATAGCGCCTTTCAGAGTCACAAAGCGCTTTACACATTTGTGCACATAGGCCTTTGTCCTCTCTACCCACACAAAGCTGGGAACAGGATCGCCTGTACAAAGGAGGCCCATGTCGGACCTATGTACATGTTTTTAGTGGTGGGAGAAACCTACGCGGGGTATAAACTCCACGGAAGGTGGACGCAACAGAGGACAGTAAATACAGTGTACATGTATCTTTTACAATCAAAATAACTTGTTTTTTCCCGCACATTTGCCATAACGTACGAAACAAGTACCATTATGAATCCTGCCAAATGAAATAGGAACATAAGAAAGTAGCTGTGTGGGTGATCTGTACCTGCGCTGATCCAGTGACTTCTGGAAGGCTTCATGGCTGTGTGATTGTGCCGTCACCCAGAGATGGAGCAGACTCGGCTTTGGAGGCTCTGGGCCTTTCTCAACTTTGGACAGCTCTCTCAGGGCTCTGCGTTCGGCTCTGGAGACTTTACTGCTTAAAGATCTGACCGTGTTACAATCGTTGGTGCCGCGGATCGGAGGGAGAGTCTGAGGAAAACAGACAAATGACAGTGCACGTTGATGGTTGTAATAGAATAGATGATGGAGGTTATGCTTCTTTGGGGAATTGATAGTGACCTTGTATTTGTTCAAAAAAGCTTGTTGTCGTAAAGCAACAGATTCTGCTTCCTGTAACGGACACAAGATAAGACTTTATTGATCCCACAGTGAAGAAATGTACATGTCACATTTGGCATGAATAGAATCACAGGTTGTGCAAGAAACAGAAGAAATGTGCAAACACTATTTTTGTGCAAGATATCGTTCGTTTGTCTTTATTTGAGCTTCTGTGTTTCACAAGTTGACATTGAGATACAGATCAGCATGGCAAGTAAAGCGATAGATAACACATTGATTAATAAATGAACAAATAAAGATGATGCCCAAAAGGAGTAGACTGCAAAAAGTGTTAAAAAGATAAGTAGAATATTGTTTACATTTGGCAAGTTTGTGTCTTAATTTAAGCACATCCTGACTGCCTTAAAACAAGATTTCCCAATGGGACAAAGCAAAATTATCTTGTGAAAAGATACTAGAAATGTCTCCCTTGGAATGAGGAAATAAAGGAACCGTTCTTGAAATAAGACAGTTCTTGAATGGTTGTGTCTCAATCACAAATCATGTTTTACTCAAGGTACTCAAATTAAGATAAAAAAACACTTTATTCAAGCTATTTTTTTACCTTAAATGTTATCATTTTTTGCAGTGTAGGCAGAAGCATAAATTTTGTACAAGAAATATGTGTAAAGAAAAACGGTAAAAATGAGGTTGAAAGTGTATATCAAAAATTACCTTTTCAGTCAGAACCATTTTGTTTTCCTTCGGGATTTTGTCCGTGATGATGAATTCATTTTTCAGTCTCTCTTTTTCTTCTTCAATGTGTCGGAGTGCGTTGATATAGTCACAGAGCGCGGCTTCACCGGTGATCTATGGTGTCGGGTTGTTTCAATATATGTACAATTATCAAGTAATCAAATTTAGCAGCATCACATAGTCACTCACACACATCACAAAAGTGGCTTTCACAACATGACAAGTGAAAAGAACATGGTTCTTTGTACATCTGTAAATTTTAAAAAAGCACTGGTCTATGCAAGTACAGTGTGCGGTAGTTATTTTTCTTCCTTTTCAAAGTTGCCGAAGCTGTGTGCTTTAAGTTACAAAGTATAGCAATCTTACCTTGCAGATAGCATCAAACTGGTAATTTGTGGGATATTTAGAGGAAAACAGGGTCAGGACAAAATGAGCTGTTCCACCAGGAAGTAGACGTCCCCTGCTTGGAACAATGGTCATCACCTGTAGCATCGCAAACAACAAATGAAATAGATGTTGACTGCCTAATACATGCGTTTTTACATCTTAGCTTGTTCCGGACGAGCTGTAGGAAGTGTGTGTAGATAGGGAAGTCTGGACGTTTCTGCTTAGACGTTGCTAATGTATTTCTATTGAAGAACTTGAAGAGTGAAAACGGTTTTGCCTGGTCCTTAAGAAGTTCTACAGTCTTTCATTTATTCAATTCTAGTGTTTTTATTTGTTGAGGCTTGTTTCCGTGGAGATCATAAGCCGTAGAAACAGTGGACCAACCGAGTGCTAACGTGTTTGCCTTTTTAGCTGATCAGTGCTAACAAAAAAAAGGCTACATGGGCGTAGATCTTGAGACAAATTCAGTAATGGGAACGACCTAGCAACCGAAGAGTAACATTCAGGGGCAGAAGGCCAGTTGTTTAAGGATATTTTATCTGGATAATATCAAAATAAAACCAAAAAGGAGGGTGTGGCTCGAACAGAGACAGAAGGGTTTATTTGCCAATTTAGGTGAATGGGAACCAAAGCGAATAGGAGCAGAACTTCATCTATTATTAAAAGCTGTTGCATTTTAATACTATTGTTGGCTATTTTTAGAATTATCTAATCATTGGTTTTGTTTGTGTGAATGCATGTGTTTCTGCTGAAACTCTCTGGACATCTTAATTTCTCCTACAGGGGATCAATAAAGTATCTATATATCTATCTATCTATGTGAACATCCTTATTTGGTATTGTAGAGCTAGTGGGTTAGCCTTGTCGGATCCTATACAGTCCTTGATGAAGTATATTGTCCCTCTTAAAAGTAAAAAGTGCACTTTATTTGTTTGATACAATGAAGAAGGAAATGCCATACATAAACACACATTTATGAAATATGTGTGACGTCACTTGCCTGTGGTTGGCTGCTGTGTTGAGGTAGAACCCACTCAAAGAGAACCGTGTCAGTGTGAGCGTTGTTGAGGAAGAGCATTCTTGTAGTTTTGGAGGAGACCACAAGTTTCCCAAAATGAACACTGTCCTCAGATAGAAATGCAGGCTATGGAGACAGAGAAGATGAGTTAAATATTTGAGTTGGACTTAGTCAATTAACTCAATTAGTGATTTATTTTACTCGCTCAGGAAAAGGTGCCCGCTGCCAGCAGGGTACAAGCGGAACATCGGTGTTGTCGCTGCGGTTTGACACTTTTGGAGTTAGTGAATAAATTCCACATCCTTCAAACCGGACGGTGGTCGACTCTCCGTTTTGGACGTGAATAGGGATGTCCATCTGAAACATAAGGAAGGCACTGGATATCATTTTGGATTCAAAGATCGAATTGCCAACCCTTTGGTGTACTCATTTAATTATGAAATAATTACAGTAATTCACTATTGGACTATTAAGCGCACCTGTAGATTTTAAATTGACAGTTGCTACGGCGCTACGTCAAATCTATGAAATCCCGGTGATCTTGATTGGTTTATTATTTGTTGCTACCCTGAAAGATATTCCATCACCCTCGATCCCAGAGCCTTGTGTGGAGCTCAGCGAAATACCTCTGGTGGAGCACGGCGGAACTACACGGATCTGGCGAGAGTCAGGTTTGGCAAAACATATTTCATTGGAGAATAGATAAATGGAAATTAACTTTGACATGCCAGAGCTTTAATCGGAATCAGAATCAGAAGTTAGGAAACTGCTTTGTCTCTCCGTGCAAACAAGTTAAAAATAAAAAATAGAATCACATTAATGTTAATAAAGGAATTAAAAAAATCAAGCTGTTAAAATGGGTTTGCGTCAACGCACTTATATAAACAAATAACACTGAGTCCAATCCTTTTTCTGCACCTGGTACAGCGTGGCCTCCAACGGAGAGAAGACCCACTCCAAGATGGCCGCCTCTCCTGGTGGAATCTCGCCGCGAGGGTTGAGACAGCGCAGCACCGGGTGGTTAAAGTTTTCCTCTTGTATTTTTGAAAATGCTGCTTTGTCCACTTCATACTTCACTGGCACTGCGCCCTGGTTGTACAGCTGATACATCTGTCAAAGCACTAAACGTTTAATTTATTGTAATAAGCAAAAGGACAATGATTGGTTCTTTGTCACACCTGCTTGGGAGGGTAGTAGTCTCCCGTAGCAACCGCGTTAAATATGTGAGTATTGGAGGAATAATGAAGATACGGTCGATCCACTTCAATCGTTGTGCCCTGAAAGATCAGCTAGTGCAAACAGAAACACATGTGAATTTCACTTTAGATTTAACATTGAGCAATGAATAGACTTAAAGCTGGGTTACCTAACTTCAAACCACAACACATGTAACTTTGAAATAAAGTCCATCCAAAGAGTTTCTCACTCTCAAAACAGTTTGTTCTAGTTTCACCTGCATGTACAGTATTTCTGGCATCTGTCACATCTTTAGATCAGACTTTTCAGACTTTTTTGTTGACAAAATATTACCATCATTTAAATAATTAGCTTATATAGCATATATAGATGTGGCTAATACATGTATTTTTTTGTGGTATAGCTGTCAGAGCAGAGTTTATGGACATGATGATCAAAATAGATGAAGGTGAATGACTCATGACACCTCGCCATTAAATCATGTTGGGACCAAATAAAACATTACAAAATGAAAACCTGAGGCTTATATTCAAGTGCAGCCTAAAGTTAGGTCCCACAGCTTTAGGTAAAAACTCACCATTATTTCTCTCCCATAAGAAATCTTTAAAAGAACTGGGAACCGATCTATTGCAATGAAGTCGTGACTGTGGATGAAAACATATCCCATGTAAATACTTCAAATGGAATATTGCTGGGTGAGTTTTTTACAGTGTGTCCTTTCTCTCACCTGTAGGTAAAAGTGACTGCCCTCTGCTGGCCAGGCATCAAGCGTCCAGAGCGGGGAGAAATACTGAACAAGTGGTTGTCTTGGACCTTTGGGGTTGATGAGACTTATAAAAACCTTGCGCTATCCTCGAGTCCCCCCCCCTGGGCTGAATTTTGACCCTTTTAGACCCCAATTTTGGGTATTTTTCTTCAACTTTTATTTACTGTGGCAGGTAATTCTGACCCGAGGATAGCACAAGGTTTTTTAAGGAGAATCAAGATATCTTAAGACTATATTTAGGTCTGACCTTCATCTGATAGAGTTCGGTGCTGGTAAACTCCCCGGTCATTGCCCAGAACTCCAACTCAAGCTGTTGGTCTTGTGGAAAGAGGAAGGACCTAAAAACACATTGTTTAAACTCAATATAAGTTATGTTTAATTAAGGTTAGTTTTAGTCTGGACACTGACCACTCCACAGGGATGCAGCCGGGGTTGTGAAGCAGCAACACAAACGTGGAGGGGTCAGAATGTAAAGGTGCAGCGCTGAAGTTAAATTCCACAGTAGCTTTGGTGAACACAGCGGGAGTGGGGTACAGGCTTTGGGAGAAACAGAAAAACAAACAGACTGTATAAACACAATGCAGTGAGTGAATACAGATTTATAGATAAGGTGTTCTCTATCGTATTGAGACTATCTCTCCACCCAGTTACATATTTCATATGTACGGGGACTGACCCCACGCGGGTCAGGTGACATGGATAATTCTTTAAGACACACCACCTGTGAGATGGCTGATTGCGCTACAAAAGCACCCGTGTGCCCAGCGCACCTTGATCATTTTGATTCCACGTTGGCAGGTGGACGAACGACGGAAGAAAATCGAACAAACAAACAAACAAATACTACAATTGAAGACTGTTTTTTTGCCACTTACTTGGTAAGAGGGAGGAATACCTCTCGGGGTGACTGTCTTCAGTGTTAGTGTAGCGACGAGCGGTTCCGTAACCACGGAACAGGGTTACAAAATCTAAAACAATGACCCTAATTTAGTTGCCACAACGCCACCCTGGAATTTCAGGTCCAGGGACCTGGATAGAAAACTAAAGAGAATTGAAATTTCACCCCGCTAAGGTCACACAGGTTCGACAGAACTGAGAGGAACGACAGACAAAAGCACGATTAATTTACATTATGTTTATTTTTAATTGGAAATAAAGTTTACAAAACTATTTAAAATTTTTAGTTATAAACGCACACACACACGCAGTCACACCAATCACTCAAACACTCACCCAAATCAAATGTACAAAACCAATAAACCAAAAAAGGTGGTTCAAAACATGTGCAGCCTGTTTGGGAACATCAGGAGCTTTGTTACCTTAAAACTTTTCGTTCTTCTGAGCGCCTTTGGGACTCCGTACCTTTGACTCAATACTCCAAAAAAAGTCTATATAGGGGACCAGTCCTGAGTGGAGAGGTTCAGTCGGAAATCGATGTGGGAGGAAGCGAAACTTGACCCAGTCCTATGTAGCAACGATTAGAATCTAGTTACTAAATACACAATGGGGAAACCACAGCGCAGAGGTGCTCTACTTACCTATGTAGCACCCAGAAGCCTGCATGGAACAAGCAGCGGAGATGAACGGCGGTACGCCGTGTCCGTGCTCTTCGCACCGGCGTTACTACAACGGAGACGCAGGAGGTAAGACCTCGCACTCGGCCAAGTGGGTAAGCTTGAATGCATTAAATAACTGCTTACCGGAGACTGAAGCTGATCAGGCGCAGGGCATATTACACGCAGAGATGAGGAGCTGACAAACGGAGCGAAGCCACACGTTGACGCCAAGGTCCAACACCGCGTTTATGACAAACCGCGGTTCGGAGGTTGCACTACGCTTTTAAGAGTGCTGTCTCGGCTTTACATTGTGATTTTAGTGGGTTGTCTGTGGCTTCGGTCCAGCTCCTCAGTGTCACGCGGAGGGAAGAGGCAAAAGGTGAGAGAAAGCGCACCCGCAGGAGTTTCCCCAATCAAGGCTCGGGCGCGGCGTGATTGGACTGCCAGCGGGGGAGGGCCTACCACTACATTCTACCCCCCCCACTTGGATCGTCGACCCGACGATCGACATGGACTAGTACCATGGCCGAAAGACGGCAGGAGCTGGATTTGATACCGGATTTTGGTTGTCTAGTATTGAACGTGGCAAATTATGTGGATTGGTGTGGCGACCAGCGGTGGAGCGCGACAATTTTCTCGCACCAGTACTACCTGGGTCGACCGTTAAAAACAGCCCAGAACTAGAAGATGGTCCAGCAACTGGCGTTCCCATTTCCACGGTACGTACATGTCTTGGGGCCAGCAACGGAGGCTGCGAATCTACAGGCCGATGAGGGACAGGCCCCAGTTCGGGCGTACCCTCCGAAACAACATACCACAAATCTTCGTCATCCGATGACTCCCTGAGTAAGTCCCGTGGTGAGACAGAAGATGAACGCTCGTTTTGAACTTCCACAGGTTGGTTAAGTTCAACAAAAACCTTTATCAACGAGCGATGAACTTGTTTAACCCTAGTCTGGTCTTGCACTGGAGCAATGGTGTAAACTGAACCTCCCTCCGATGGAGCTCTCAAGAGGACCACAAGTCTTGAATCTTACAACGACCCCGCACACTAGTATTGCGCACCAAAACCATTTGTCCTTCCCTCAAAGGCCCATCATGCACACGTTGGTCATGTTGGTCCTTTCGACGTTGGGCCGCTGCCCTCAAGCGTTCCTGAGCTCCATCAAAAGCCAGCTTCAAACGGGCTTGGTGCTCCAAGATCCATTCATGGGGACTACCAGCAACAGGATCGGACACTTGACCCAAAAGAAAATCAACGGGGAGTCGAGGTTCCTGACCAAACATCAAGTAGAACGGCGACTCGCCAGTTGACTGATGAGGCGTGGTGTTATAAGCATACAAGACTTGCGGTAGGAACGCACACCAATCGCGTTTCCGGGATGCCGGCAACGTGCGGAGTAAGTTGTGCAACGTGCGATTAAATCGCTCACACTGGCCATTCCCAGATGGATGGTATGGTGTTGTACGCGATTTCTCAACCCCATAAAGTTCACAAAGCTGGTGCACCAGCAAGCTCTCAAAACATCTGCCCTGGTCTGAGTGGATCCTAGCTGGGACTCCAAACTTTGAAAACCACTCCGACACAAGCACTCGCGCCACAGTAAGCGCCCGTTGATCTCTAGTTGGTACGGCAAGAGTGTACTTGGTGAAAACATCTGTGATGATGAGCACACTTTCCACTCCATTCTGTGATGGTTCCAACAAGGTGAAATCCAGTGCGATGATTTCATTTGGGCGTGAAGCAAGGAGGTGGCCCATCGGTGCCCGAGCTGGTGGACGAGAATCTTTGGCGACCTGACAACGCTCACATTGATGGCACCATTCTCTCACTGCCTTGGACATCCCAGGCCAATAGCAGCGGGATCTGAGCAATGCCAGGGTCCTTTCTACACCCTGGTGGCCGTGTTCATGATGCACCTGAGTTAGCACCTCCTCTATCAACGCAGCTGGTAGCAGGAGTTGGAATATGGCTAAACCACCATCAGGACGGAAAACCTTCCGATACAACAACTCACCCCGCTCAACTAAACGGTCCCACTGCTGGAGCAAGATCAAAGCAGAAGGAGAAAGGTTTCTCCGTTCCTCACTGTTTGGTCGTACCTTCGCTCTCCAAAAGGGCAGTACTTCCTGGATAACCACATCACTCGCCTGAAGGGCACGAATGTCACAAGAGGGGTGGCCAGGCAGGGCCGACACGATGGATTGGGTGGCCTCTACCTGTTCCTGACCACTCAACCTTTGCAGAGGATAAGGAATAAGCGCGCCTGGGAGCATTCCAGCAAGCTCGGATGAACGAAAGCCCGGTTGTCGGGACAAAGCATCCGCGCTTCGATTACTTTTGCCGGACCTGTACCGCAACTCAAAATCGAAAGACGCGAGCTGTGCAGCCCAACGCTGCTCCACAGCTCCAAGCTTTGCTGTCATCAGGTGACTAAGAGGGTTGTTGTCGGTGTAGACAACACACTTATGACCTAACAAATACTCTCGAAATTTGTCCGTCATTGCCCACTTAAGGCCAAGCATCTCGAGCTTCATTGAGCTGTAGTTCGACATGTTGCGTTCTGTAGGACGCAAACCACGACTTGCATACGCAACTGGTCTAACCTTCCCTTCATGCTCTTGAGAAAGAACCGCCCCCAGACCATGGTGGCTCGCGTCAACCTCCAAAATGAACGGACGCGAAAAGTCTGCATATGCAAGCACTGGTGCACTGGTCAACTTCGCCTTCAGGCCGTCAAAGCTCTCTTGACATTCATTAGTCCAAGTTTCACCGTCACACTTCCCTGATCTCTTCGACTTCCCTGTCAACGTTGCAACTCTCCGATGCAGCGGTGCTGCCAACCTTGCAAAACCCTCAACGAAGCGACGATAATAGCTTGCAAAGCCTAAGAAAGAGCGAAGCTCTGTTACTGTTGTGGGCGTCGGCCAATTTGCCACACATGCAATTTTTGCCGGGTCTGTAGAGACCCCTTGGTCAGAGATAACATGACCTAGATAACTGACCTTGCGTTTCAAGAAGCTACACTTGCTGAGCTTAACCTTTAAGCCCTCATGATGGAGCCGTCCCAGGACACCATCCAGCCGCTGAAGGTGCTGCTGAAAGTCGGCGGAAAAGATGATAATATCGTCCAAGTACAACAGTAATGACTGCCCTTGCTGATCACCGAAAATGCGCTGCATAAGGCGCTGGAAGGTCCCTGGGGCGTTACAAAGGCCAAAAGGCATTCTATTCCACTCGAAAAGCCCAAAGGGGGTACAGAATGCAGTTTTAGGTCGATCTTTCTCGGCAACTGGCACTTGATTGTACCCAGCAGCAAGGTCCAACGTTGAAAACCAACACGCGCCCGTCATGGCATCCAAGGATTCGTCAATTCGGGGGAGGGGGAAAGCATCTTTATGAGTTTTAGAATTCAATTGCCGATAGTCGACGCACAACCTTAAGGATCCATCCTTCTTACGAACCAGTACTATGGGCGAGGCATAAGGGCTTGAACTTTCCCGTATCACTTGCGCCTGCAGCAACTGGTTAATATGCTCTTTAACTACCTCGTATTCGGACGGTGGGATTCTACGGTGACGTTGACGAACAGGTACATCGTCAAGAAGATGGATTTCATGAGATATGAGACTGGTGCAGCCCAAGTCTTGGTCGTGCGCTGCAAAGACTGGTAGATGTTTTCTAAGCAAAGACCTAGCTGCATCATGCTCTTCCGGAGGCAAGTGTGAAAGATCAACTTCTTCGATGTAATCTCGAGCGGAAGGACGTGCCGTCGACGTAGCTACCTGCGCAGTAACAGAGGACACTTCAGCGACCCCTGAAGGTAAGCTAACAACTCTCACGTCATCAAGCGTACCAATGACTGTCCGGGAGTAAAGGAGTATATCGGACACGCCCACATTCACGACAGGGATGTAAGCTGTACCCTGAATAACGCGGACCAACGCCGGGGAGGCCAACAGACCCGCCGGTAAGCCAGATTCAGGTGGTTCAAACAGAACAGTACCATCTGAAAACTGTTCTGAGCAAGTGGCTGTTACGATCTTCATAACACCTCCAGGTATCCGGAGGTGTCTTCTTCCCACGGACCCTAGCTCTGCCTGGCTTCATAGAGATCGGTTGCACGCTAGCAACATGACATTTTTGCAAAGCGTCCACGATAGAAGCCGGAAAGGACACTGAAGCTTCTGCGAATAAGGCTGAGCCATACTGTCCGAAAAGCTCCTGGTAACATTTACTAATGATATTCATCCCCAGCACACCAGGTACTGGCAACAAAGGACGCCCAGGTGGATCTTTCACCACCAATACACCACAACGGGGCATCGATTTCCCACAAAGAGTAACCTCGAGTTCAAGGTAGCCAATATACGGAATGGCCAGTCCATTGGCGGCCTTAAGTTCCAACCAATGGCAAGCTTTGAGACGTTCCTCACCCCAGGGCTCGAAGTTCTCATGAAAGAAACTCTTGGTAATTGTTGAGACCATCGACCCGGTATCCACCAGACATGGTACGGGGGCGCCACCCATACCAACGTCGATGTGTGGACATGTGGAGATGAGCTTCTGAACGTCTTCCAACCTTACCCTAGGATCTCTTGAGCCAGTAGATGCCCCACCCGAGCTGTGGCCCGGCAACGCGGTGGGCGCTAGTTTTCCGACGGCTGACGTGATGGCCCATGACCCCGCGCAGCTGAGTGTGGCCGGGACGGCATACGTGGCCCATCACACTCTCTGGCCATGTGTCCGGGCTGTTGACAACGATGGCAAATGATGGGCGCGGATCGTGGAGAGCGGCCACGGGGTTGAGGAGAGTGATTACGCTTGTGGAGACTTTGCAACTGAGCCATGCTTGTTGTTAACTTGTCCAATTGATCCTGCTGTCGTCGCAAAAGCTCTTTCATCTCACTAACTTCCGAGGTCGGCGGATGGTAACCCGACCGCTGGCCGCCACCCTGCACCATGTACTGAATACCAACAGCCGAGGGGACAGAATTGCTTCGGCCACGCACAACCGCTGGCAGTCCTTCACGTTCCCACCTAATAGCCTCGCCTCTGACGTCCAATAACGTTGCCTCAGGGGCCTGTCTCACGTATTGTTTTAACGAACGCCGAAGGTCACAATCTAAAACCTGCTCGACAAATTGATCACGCAACAAGATTTCGGAATTTGGCATGTTATTTGGAGCGCGCTGTTTTACCTTTTCCATCAGTGACCTGAGAGCGAGTGAATATTCCAAAAGTGTCTCTCCCTCTTGTTGACGACGGGAAAAAATGCTTCCTGCAGTGCTACATAGGACTCGGCGCATCCATAAAGATCCTGTAAGATTGCTTTAATTTCGATCGGGTCACTTCGTTCTTCTGCTGAACGAAACTTAATTTCATCGCGAGCCTCCCCTTCCAAATGGTCATAAAGAAAAAATGCCTGGTCTGCCAGTGACAAGTGTCTGGCCCGCACACACGCCTCTGCTTCTTCGAGCCATTCCCCTAAATGAATTCCCACCCTGCCCCTGAACATAGGGCATTTTCGGTCCCTGGGGACAAAAACTAACCGGTCAATGCTCGGATTACCTCGGCTAGAGTTAGGGGAAGGTTCGCCTGCCGTGGCGGATGGCCCAGCGGGAGAACCTGCCCCAGACTGAGGGCGCTCTTGACGCAACCTTTCATTTTCGGCACGCAACTGTGCTACCGCTTCTTGCAGTTCTCGCAACTGTTCCTCCATGGGTGAAACAGTATAAAAAAAAAATCAAAAACGAAAACAATTGCTGCTGTTGTTCCCAATAACAATTCACATTAACCAGACTAGAGGTATAAAAGTGGCAGTGTTTACCTCTACCAATGGCAGTAGCTACCCAGCAAGATTGCTCAACAAGCAAAATACTCTGCAAGTAATGATTCAAAACACACACAAAAAAAAACATGCAATGTAAAAAATGTAATCACAGCAAATGTAGAACATGCAATGTAAAAAATGTAATCACAGGAAATGTAGAACATGCAACATATATACACAACACAGCAAAACGTTTAACAATATATTACTTCTGAATCGCTACCCCCCTTCTAACAGCATGAAAGCCAAGGAAAGTGTCACCCTAAACCACTACACCACTGTCACAGTCATAAACTCTCACTGCACTAATCACTAAAAAAATAACAGTCTTTGTCCCATCTCAGTTCGTCCTGCCAGCAACGCCAAATGTAGCGACGAGCGGTTCCGTAACCACGGAACAGGGTTACAAAATCTAAAACAATGACCCTAATTTAGTTGCCACAACGCCACCCTGGAATTTCAGGTCCAGGGACCTGGATAGAAAACTAAAGAGAATTGAAATTTCACCCCGCTAAGGTCACACAGGTTCGACAGAACTGAGAGGAACGACAGACAAAAGCACGATTAATTTACATTATGTTTATTTTTAATTGGAAATAAAGTTTACAAAACTATTTAAAATTTTTAGTTATAAATTGTTTAAAACGCACACACACACGCAGTCACACCACTCACTCAAACACTCACCCAAATCAAATGTACAAAACCAATAAACCAAAAAAGGTGGTTCAAAACATGTGCAGCCTGTTTGGGAACATCAGGAGCTTTGTTACCTTAAAACTTTTCGTTCTTCTGAGCGCCTTTGGGACTCCGTACCTTTGACTCAATACTCCAAAAAAAGTCTATATAGGGGACCAGTCCTGAGTGGAGAGGTTCAGTCGGAAATCGATGTGGGAGGAAGCGAAACTTGACCCAGTCCTATGTAGCAACGATTAGAATCTAGTTACTAAATACACAATGGGGAAACCACAGCGCAGAGGTGCTCTACTTACCTATGTAGCACCCAGAAGCCTGCATGGAACAAGCAGCGGAGATGAACGGCGGTACGCCGTGTCCGTGCTCTTCGCACCGGCGTTACTACAACGGAGACGCAGGAGGTAAGACCTCGCACTCGGCCAAGTGGGTAAGCTTGAATGCATTAAATAGACTGAAGCTGATCAGGCGCAGGGCATATTACACGCCGAGATGAGGAGCTGACAAACGGAGCGAAGCCACACGTTGACGCCAAGGTCCAACACCGCGTTTATGACAAACCGCGGTTCGGAGGTTGCACTACGCTTTTAAGAGTGCTGTCTCGGCTTTACATTGTGATTTTAGTGGGTTGTCTGTGGCTTCGGTCCAGCTCCTCAGTGTCACGCGGAGGGAAGAGGCAAAAGGTGAGAGAAAGCGCACCCGCAGGAGTTTCCCCAATCAAGGCTCGGGCGCGGCGTGATTGGACTGCCAGCGGGGGAGGGCCTACCACTACATTAGGAAAGATCCGGTGTCTGGCGTATTGCCCTGACAAGGGGTTTACACGCCACAGACACAAGGACTTGCTGAACCCGTGGGGGGAACGCGGTCTTCTGGATCCACGGTCCTCTTTGCCTGACGCATTGCTCCGTGCGGGGTTTACGCGTCACAGGCAGGAGTTGGCAGCGGTGAAACCTGGTGCGGGGGAAGCCGCTGTCTGTGGTTTCAGACTCGTGCGGTTCTGGCAAGTGAAACATAAACAAGCAGTGCTCGCGTTCTCGCGAGACTTCGCAATGTCACACACGTGTGAAGACTGCGGGGTGCAAATGCCCATTGAGGATGGGCATATGAAGTGCGTTTTATGTTTGGGAGAGGATCATGCCTCTGCGGCCAGGGAAGACCCGTCCTCTTGCATGAACTGCTTTATTATACCCAGGCCGTCACTCGAGGCTCGTTGTTGTCTGTTTAGGGGCAAGAAACGGAAAGCCTCTGTTACTGAGCTGAGCCAGGAAAAACGTGACAGAGGGTTGGGAACTAGGTCAAAGACTCCCATGATTGGGCCTCCACTTACAATTACTGTGCATGACACCTCTGAGCCTCATGAGCAGGAGGACGTGAGTGATGTGGATGTGGAGTGTTTTTCAGACAGTGATTTGGCACCTGACCAGGAGGGCACGGCATCTGTAGGTGAGGACAGGGAGCCTAATAGTGCATTGCTGCAGTTTAAAGGGCTAATTGAGAGAGCAACTCAGTCCCTTGGTGTGGAGTCTAGAGCTGTAAATGCACCCACCCCCTCACGGTTTGACAGTGGTTGTGGGCAACCATATGGATCTTTTTCGGTTCCACTTCTTTCAGATGTGGAGGAGCTAATCCAGGCTGGGTTTACCAGACCAACAGATGCATTTAAAACTTCTGTTAGCTGCAGACGGCTGTCTGCCATGCAGGATCGTGAGAAGATTGGCTGTGCCACTCTTCCTCAGGTGGACCAGTCAATTGCAGCCCTAATTTCTCCGGCCAGTTCTGGGCTGGGGAAAACTACATGTCCCTCCAGAGGTAGTAGAATGGTGGATGCACTTTTGGCTAAGGTGCATAGGACCATTGCTGTTCAAACACAGCTAGCCAATACTATGTCTATACTGACCTTGTATAATCGTCAGCTTACATATGAGTTGGAGGGGGGACAGGGTTCAGAGCGGCTGGTTAAAGAGTTGCAGCTTGTCTCCTCATCTATGGTTCAGCTAATGAAGGAGCAAGCAGCAGTGGCAGGGAAGAGTATTGCTTCTCTTTGGGTAACCAGGCGGCAGCTATGGCTCTCCCAGTCACCACTGCAGCCGGAGGATCAAAGTGGCTTGATGAAACTCCCGGTTGACCCTCAGGCCATGTTTGGTCCTGGTGCCATGAGTATGTTACAGCAGGCCCAGTAGGCACGCAGATGTGCGCGGGAAGTGTCTGGGGTGGTTGTGCGGCGGCGCAAGTGGCAGAGTGCAGGTTCCGCATCCAGGCCACCTACACAAACCGGTCAGCAGCAAAACTGGGGCTCACGGGACTTACGTACCACCATTGAGGCCCAGCGGCGACGGAGCAGGGGCAAAGGGGGGCCATCAGGTTCTGGGTTTCAGGCTAAGGGCCGACCCAAGCCTCCGCCTCAGTCCTGACGCCAGGATGGACCCAGCGTGTTTCCCCGACATTGAGACACGCCGGACTGCCTGGATGGCCATGGGTGCGTCCCCATGGGTCGTGTCTACCATGACGCAGGGGTACCGTATCCAGTTTTTACGGAAGCCTCCCACCTCAGTGTCCCCTTTGGTGGTCACTCAGGTGCATTCCGAACACAGGGCAGTACTCCTGTCGGAGATTTCTACCCTGTTGGAGAAGAAGGCAATCAGAGTAGTGCCACCAGGCGACAGACAGGCTGTGTTTTATTCCCGGTATTTTTTGATTCCCAAAAAGGACGGCAAGCTCCGCCCCATTCTCGACCTGAGAGGACTGAACCGGTTCATTCGTCCTCTGCGGTGCAAAATGTTGACAGTCTCCAGGGTGAGACAGTTCATCTGCAGAGGGGATTGGTTTGTTACCATCGATCTGAAGGACGCCTATTTTCAGATTCCCATCTGGAAAGGCCACTGGCGTTTCCTCAGATTTGTCTTCAACGGCAAGGTGTACGAATTTCAGGTTCTTCCCTTTGGGATATCCCTGGCTCCTCGCACATTCACGAGGTGCATGGAAGCAGTGCTCTCACCTCTCAGACAGGAAGGCATCAGAATTCTGAACTACTTGGACGACTGGCTCCTGTGTGCGGGGACACAGCAGGAGTGTCGGGCTCACTTGTCTCTGCTGTTGGAACACCTGCGTCAATTGGGGCTTCGTCTCAACTACGAGAAAAGCCATCTCGTACCGTCTCAAGAGACGCACTTTCTAGGCCTAGTCTTGAATTCTCAGGCAGCAAGTCTCACACTATCACAGGCGAGACTGATGTCCTTCGAGAGTTGTCTCTCGCAGTTCAGACTGGGGGCCAGAGTCACATGGCGGCAGTGTCTCCGCCTCATGGGGCTTATGGCGTCCATGTCACAGGCGGTCCCTTTGGCGCTGCTGAACATGCGCCCAGTCCAACGGTATCTTCTGGGTCTGGGTCTGGATCCTCAGAGACACCTACACGTGTCAGTACTGGTCACCAGGCGTTTTCTATTGACCCTTCGTTGGTGGCGTTGCGCAGAAAATGTGAACAAGGGGCTCACTCTCGGGCCAGTGATTCATCGTCATCTTGTGGCGACGGATGCATCACTGACGGGATGGGGAGCTGTGTACAGAGGCAATGGGGTCAGCGGACACTGGCGGGGTGCCTACACAACACAACACATCAATGTCCTGGAGCTGCGGGCAATATATCTAGCCCTTCGACACTTCCTTCCTCACATACAGGGGCAACATGTCCTGGTGAGGACAGACAGTGTGGCAGCAGCCTCGTATGTGAACAGACAGGGCGGGTTGGGCTCAGTCTGCCTGTGCAAGATCGCACATCAACTGTGGCTGTGGGCTCAACCCAAGTTCCTGTCGCTGCGGGCGGTGCATGTGCCAGGATTGGACAATGTGGCCGCGGATCTGCTCTCCAGGGGAGGGCCGGATCCAGGCAGCTGGAGGCTACACCCTCAGGTGGTGTGGGCCATTTGGGGCCGTTACGGGCAGGCGTCAGTCGATCTATTTGCGTCTCGCCAGAACGCCCACTGTCCCCTGTTTTTCTCTTTGGGGAGGGACAATCCTCCGCTCGGGGTAGATGCAATGTCTCACCCGTGGCCTCACGGTCTACTTTATGCTTTTCCGCCATTCGGTCTCCTCCCGTCTCTCTTGCAGAGGGTGCGGGTGGAGGAAGTGAGAGAGTCCTGGTGGCTCCCCTGTGGCCTCACATGACTTGGTTCTCGGACATCCCACGTCTCCTCAACGGGACTCCGTGGGAACTCCCAGTACGCCCGGACTTGCTGTCGCAGGGCCTGGGGGCTCTGTTTCATCCGTTTCCCCAGGGGCTGAGGCTCTGGGCCTGGCCCCTGAGAGGTCCGAGTTGCTAGCTATGGGACTTCCAGATTCTGTGGTGCAGACTTTGGAGGGTGCTCGGGCACCATCTACGCGGGCACTATACACGCATCGATGGAACTCCTTTGCTAAGTGGTGTGTGCAGCATGGGTTTGACCCTCTGGCATGTACAGCACCAGAGATTCTGCAGTTTTTGCAGTATCTTCTGGAGGCGGGCAGGTCACCATCCACATTAAGGGGAATGGTGGCTGCTATCAAGGCACAAAGGGTAGGCAGACACAGTTTACCTGAGGGTGTGTCCCACCTGGTCTCTAGGTTTCTCAAAGGGGCCCGACGGCATGGTGGCAGGTGTACAAGACCACCCCTTCCCTCCTGGGATTTGGAGTTGGTTTTGCAGGCCTTGGTGAAGCCTCCTTTTGAGCCTCTGGCTACAACGGACCTGAAGTGGGTGTCGTTGAAAACGGCCCTTTTGACGGCGTTGGCCTCTGCAAGAAGGGTGGGAGAGCTCCACGCTCTCTCGGTTCATCAGGACCTCTGTAGGTTTCTGCCTGAGGAGGCTGGTGTAGTTTTGCGACCGGACCCGATGTTTGTCCCTAAGGTTATCCTAGGTCGACACTCAGATTTGGCAATCTCGTTGAGGTCCCTGTTCTTCGTTCAGCAGGCAGGGGGTGAGCGGGAACGGTCGCTGGTGTGTCCAGTCAGGGCCCTGCAGGTCTACATGCAGAAACCTTTAGAAAACCTTCTGGTGAGATGAGCATGCGCAGCAGCTGAGAACACGGTGAGAACGCCAAGCTCTGACAATTTGTTAAAATTGTGGCGCTCAGTTAATATACAGTGTTCAAAAGTTGGCGGATTTAGCACATCAAACGATTGGCAGTGTCATGCCCCCCAAAAAGCCAAAAGTGCAGTCCAAACAAGACGATAACAACGAGGAAGCGCAGGTGGATCAAAGCAGCATGGCAGGTGTGCGAGACAACATTAAGGAGATGTCAGACTTGATACGCTCTATCATAAGAGAGGAAATAAGCGTGGTGATTATAAAACTTACTACTATCACGGATAACATTTCTGCCTGTACGCGGAGACTTGACGAAGTTGACGAAACTTTGTCGGGAATGGACAGTCGGATCACAAAGCTAGAGACGGAGTGCGTGACCCTGCGTAAAACCAATGTGGAACTGACGGAGAAAGCTGAGCAGCTCGAAAAGCATAGCCGTAAATACAACGTTCGCGTTTTTGGTTTACCAGATAACATCGAAAATGGTAATCCGACCAACTATATGAACATATTGTTCAAAGAACTGTTCAAAGACAAACTGAAGTCGGAGCCAGAAGTGGAAATAGCGCACCGGATTGGACCAGTGCGTAAAGAAGGCGGAAAAGCGATGATTGTGCGCCTCCAAAAGTTTGCGGTAAAGGAGGAGATCGTGAAAGTGGTGAAAAATGAACGCATGATGCAAATTCGCGGAATGAAGCTGATGATTTTCCCGGATCTGACCAAGGAGATGGCGAAGAAACGAGCCAGCTTCTGGGAGTTACGAGCCAAGTTGAAGAGCTCTGATGTGAGACACGGCATCATTCATCCAGCAACGCTGATATTGACTTTCAAAGGTGAGACTAAAAAGTTCACAGAGCGAAGTGAGGCTGAGGCGTATTACGAAACTGTGATTATGCCTGGACTAAAGAACAAGGGATAAATAAGACAATAAACTGAATGACAGCTGGATGGATATGAAGAAATGAATAAAACTGAAGAAAGGGCTGTATTTTTGTTTATTGTATATTGGAACGCAAGCCCACATAATGTGTAATATTTATGTTGAAAAGGATAATGTCATGAGCAGGCGCAGCTCAGCTGATCTCTAATTTCTTATTTTATTACAATGTTAAAGATTTTTGTGTGTGTGGATGTGTGTATGAATGTGTTAAGTAATGTGAGGGTTTTGGTGGAGGCTCAATGGGAAACTAAAAGAATAAATTCAGAACAAATATCAGATGATTAAAGACCATATTCTGTTGCAAAAAGGTTTTTTTAAAATAGCTCATTTGAACGTGTGCAGCTTAAGAAATAAAATATGTGATATTCAGAATACTTTACAAAAATATAATTTTCAGGTATTAGCAATATCAGAAACGCATCTGGATGCAACAATAAATAGCCCTTTATTATATATAGATGGCTATAATATTTTTAGGCTGGACAGAAATTTACATGGTGGAGGTGTAGCTTGTTATGTCCAAAATCACATCCCAGTCACAGTAAGATCAGATCTTAACATCGCAGGAGTCGAAGTACTCTGGTTACAGTTACAGTTACCTCATTTGAGGCCTGTTGTCATTGGATGTTGTTACAGACCACCGAATGCCGCTATAATGTACCTTGATCAAATATGTGAAATGCTGGACATTGTATGTGATACAGGAGGCGAAATTTATTTTTTAGGAGATTTAAATATTGATTGGAAATTGGAAAGTTGTGCATTAAGAAGCAAATTAATTTCATTTGCTAATACTTGTAATTTGTCACAACTTGTCAGTGAATTCACGAGAATACATTTAAAGACCGATGGTACATGTTCAGCAACTATTATCGATTTAATTTTTACTAATGTGGCAGAGTTATGCTCTGAGGCAGTATCTATTCCAGTTGGCTACAGTGACCACAATTTAATTGCAGTTATGAGGAAGACAAAGGTACCTACACAGGGACAACAATTTATTTGTAAAAGGACTTTTAAACATTTCAAAGAAAATGATTTTATAGCAGAAGTAAGCAACATAGATTGGTCAGAGGTACTACAAGAACAAGATCCAGATAAGGCAGTGGTGGTCTTTAACAATCTGATAACAAAGGTGATTGATAAACATGCTCCAATGAGGAAACAAGCAGTGAGAAATGTCTCTGCTCCATGGCTGGACAAAGACCTGAAGCAATACATGAAGCTCAGGGATAAAGTCAGAACAGAGGCCATAAAAACAAATCAATTGGCAAAATGGAATGAATATCGAAAATTACGAAATTTTGTCACCAAATTAAATAAAAATAAACGCCTATATTATCATAAAAAGATTAATGAGGTTAAATCGGATAGTACGAAATTATGGAATACATTAAATGAACTTATGGGCAAGAAAACAAGATCTACTCCTACTTTTTTGGAGGGAGACGGAATATATCTTACTAAACCAAGGGAAATTGCTAATTACCTGAGCCAGTCTTTCACTAACAAAATAAAAACAATTAGAAATGACATGGCAGTGAGACAGGAAGAAAATATTACTTACCAATTAATAAGGAAATATATAATGCAAACCAAAAATATTACATTCAAATTTGCTGAGGTAACAGAGGATGATGTCAAAAAATTGTTGAAAGAAAGTAAAGAAAAACCCTCTGGTGCTGACAATATTGAGGTCAGACTATTAAAGATGGTAGTAGATTTTGTTCTGTTGCCTGTTTCTCATATAATCAATTTAAGTTTAAGGAAAAACATATTTCCATCACCATGGAAGATGGCAAAATTGATCCCTTTAATTAAGAATAATAAAGAACCATTGTCAAGTCAAAATAGCAGACCAATAAGCTTGTTACCTGCATTAAGCAAAATTATGGAAAAAGTAGCATATGACCAAATGCAGGAATATTTTACAGCTCAGGGATTAAATACAATTTATCAGCATGCATATAAAATGGGTCACTCCACAACTACTGCACTTACTCAGATTACCGATCATTGGTTACAGGAAATTGATAATAAAAAGATGGTTGGCACAATATTTTTAGATTTAAGTGCGGCTTTTGATCTTTTAGATCATACAATTTTACTAAATAAGTTGAAATGTTATGGATTTCAGTTGCCTGCCTTAAAGTGGTTAGAAAGTTATCTAAGTAATCGGGAGTATAAAGTTTATTTTAATGGACATTATTCTGAGATTGGACATATGGATTGTGGAGTGCCCCAGGGAAGTTGTTTGGGACCCCTTTTATTTTCGATTTTTACAAATGATCTTCCCCTGGTGTTAAAACAGGCAACCATGGCTATATATGCAGATGACACAACATTGTCTGCGTCTGCACAAACAGACTGCCAACTTAATAACATTCTACAGGAGGAACTGACTTTAGTAACTCAATGGATTAGAACTAACAAATTAGTGGTTAATGTCGAAAAAACTAAATGCATGGTAGTTGGTTCAAAACACCTATTGAAAACAACACCGATGTTACATTTGACTTCAGGAAATACGAGAATTGAACAAGTAGATCAAGTAAAATTGTTGGGAGTGATTGTAGATTCTAGACTGTCGTGGACCAGTCAAATTAATTGTCTATTACAGAAAATGGGGAGGAGTATGGGCATAATTAAATATTGTAGAAAGTGTATTCCTCGGTGGTTGACCAAACAACTTGTTCAATCACTTGTACTTTCATACTTAGACTATGCATCAGTTGTTTGGTCAAACACAAGTGAAAATAATTTACATAAGTTACAAGTAGCTCAAAATAAAGCAGCACGGATTGTTTTAGGTTGCCCATACAGAACCAATGTGAGGACAATGCATGATAGTTTGGCGTGGTTAACAGTCAAATGTAGATTAAAGTATTTCCTAATAACATTTATTAGGAACATTATTATGACAAAAATACCTAAAGTCATACATAATAAATTGTCATTTTTCTCAGATAATCATAGTTATGGAACACGCCAGACCAGTGCAACAAGGTGTCTCTACCCTGTTGTAAAACTAATCAGATGCAGCGAACTGTTTGTTACAGAGCCGTGGTTGCCTGGAATTCTTTACCAGGATTTTTGTTGTTAGAAAACAGCAAAATATGTTTTAAAAATAAACTAAAGGTGTTTTTGTTTACACAAGAATGATGTTGGATTAATACGGTAACTAACCATGTGATAGGCAAGTTCCAAGCTGGTGCTGTAATGGGATCCGTGGGCAGTCGAGTTGTTAGGTTGAGATTTATGTTTCATACAAAACTTCAAATATTTTGATTACTGTAAATGTTTTACTTTTGTTTAGGTAATGGATTATTCGTTTTACTTTGTTAAATGGAAATGGTAAAAATGCTGTTATTGCTGTTTTAGGTCGATTCTACTTATCTATTTTTGGTTTTATGTGATATCGTTGGCCGTATGGCATAATTGTTTAGGTCATTTTGTATTGTTGAAATGGTAATGAGGAAAAACAATGTGTTTCCTATAAAATGTCTTTTACATGTTTTACGGGCAAAGATGAGTCGGGCGGTTGTGCTGTGTGGCTAGCGACATGTTTTGTTCGGTTTCACATTGAGCTCCCACGGTTGGTTTGTGTGTATGTGTGTGTGTGTTGTGGTTTTGTTTGTTTTGTTATGTTGTAAACATTTGTAATGAAAATGAAGGAGACCCCAGGTAGAATAGCCCCGGCAATAAGTCAGGAGCTAATGGGGCTCTCAATAAAATGAAATGAAATGAAATGACTCGGACACGGGAGCACAGGACTGTGGATCAGCTTTTCGTTTGTTTTAAGCAAGGGAAGTTGGGCCAGCCCCTTTCTAAGGCTCGCCTGTCGCATTGGCTTGTAGATGCAATCCGTCAAGCATATGTGACTATGGGGGTTGAGTTTCCTGTGAATGTGAGGGCACATTCTACACGGGGGATGGCAGCGTCCTGGGCTTTGTGGCGTGGCGCATCGCTGGATGAGATCTGTGCTGCGGCCACGTGGTCAGCTCCTTCTACTTTTTCTCGGTTTTACCGGTTGGATTTAGCAACAGGCACGTCCTTTGGGGAACGTGTGCTGGGTGCCGCGCAACCCCAGTGAGGTTACCCATAACCTTGCGTCTTGCAGGTTGGGATGGGACACCGGGTTCTGGGCAACGATGTCCTGCGTTGGCAGAATGGGCTGCCCGTCTTTATTTTTCATGACAGTGGCCTGGCCTTTGCGTCTTGCAGGGCTGTGTCGCCTCGGTTGCGTCTTGCGCTGGGGCCAGTGTGTCACAACTTGCGTCTGGCAAGGTTGGCTTCTAATGTGTGTAGTTTACTGTGTCACTTGGGTGGTTTTTGTTCTAATTGGTGGCGGCAACGTCTCATTCGAAATACACCCTGCTCGATCCCCTTGCGGTGTGTCTTACAGAGTCCCCGTACATATGAAATATGTAACTGGGTGGAGAGATAGTCTCAATACGATAGAGAACGTTACGGTTACAGTATGTAACCATGTTCTCTGAGTGAAGAGACCTTCTCTCCAGCTCGATTCCGCTCGGGGATCCGTTACATCAAAATTTGATCAAGGTGCGCTGGGCACACGGGTGCTTTTGTAGCGCAATCAGCCATCTCACAGGTGGTGTGTCTTAAAGAATTATCCATGTCACCTGACCCGCGTGGGGTCAGTCCCCGTACATATGAAATATGTAACTGGGTGGAGAGATAGTCTCTTCACTCAGAGAACATGGTTACATACTGTAACCGTAACGTTATGAACGATTTCACTTGTATATCAATAAACTTACTATGTAACCTTCTGAGATATTTTAACCACACTTTTTAAATGTTGAGAATAATTATGACTTTATTGGAGTTATTTGTGTATTTTAGGTATTGCATTTAAATGACCTTGCAGACTGACTGTTGGTAGTATTGTCTTTTCATTCCGTGTCGCCAATAGAACATTTTTATCGGAGCAAAATATGACTAAAACTTTATCTTTAGACTTGCATTTAGACCTGATTAATTTCTACCGTGGCGAAAAGATTAATTGCAATCAAACTGAAACTGCAGTTTTAGAGGTTTCCATACATAAAGGATGCATCTAAGTTCATAAAATAATGTCTTGATTAAAAATAGACCTTCTTTACTCTTATTTTGGGACCAGTAGCATTTTGTTCATTTCTTTAAGTGATAAATTGGTTTTCTTTTTGTTGTTCTGAGATTTTGCACATTTTTAACACAGTTTTTTCTTGCTGATGCAGGAGGGTTACAGGACAGTGGTGATGAACATTTATGGACATTGGTCATCTGCCTCTTAGGGACCAATGGCTCTGTGTGTTTGATTCTCTAATCTGTGTTGGGCGAAGTCAACGGTTTTGATTAGTCCTCTGAGATACCTACTGTTGTTATTTAGGGCTATACAAGAATACATTGAATTAAATTGAATTGTTAAGCTAAACTAATTGGCTAGCATTTTTACAGTGTAACCATGCTATTCTTAACGCCGGAATTTTTCAAGGGATCACAAAACTTATAATAGCAATGTTTGTCAGACAAATCACAATCAGATATTTTGCAAAATGCAGTTACCCTACTTGAAGTGTCTGACCTGTGCCTGGTGGGAGTGCTGTAGGTCAGTTCTGCAGGACAGGGGCTGAACTGCAGCGACTCGTTCAGATCTTTCAGTGACAGAAGTCTCCACAACTCCTTGGTGCTACAATGAGACAAACTGCCCTCTCCACAGACGTCTATGATCTGAAAAGTTGGGAACACACCCTTGGCACGAACTTCACACAGGAAATTGGCAGATGACAAAGAACCTGAGAGAGAAAATATGTGGTAAGAAACAATAAAAGAGAAAATAATTATATTGTTCTTAATGCTTTCTTGTCCTACCATTGGCATGTATTGTCTGGTAGCTGAGAGTCCACATGTACTGGGCTTTTCTATGTGGTTTGAACGTTGATTGTAAAAATACGGTGGATTTTGAGACAATAGTCACCTCTTCACCATGAACCTGCAGGGCTGTATAGTCAATGGAATCCACACAACACAGAAATGGACAAACCAAAACAATTTACTTTACTTTACACACACAAACACCCATATTGAATACTGTTCAAGGAAAACAAATTACCACATTGATCTGTGTCTGGGTCATTGGCAAAATCTTTATCCAAGATTTTTTGTTCAAATGTAACTGTGAAACGGACAGTGCAAGGGCAGTTGTTGATCACGGGAATGCTGAATGTCTGACAGGCTCCAACTAAAACGTCTTTCACTTCCAGAACTGATTCTTTTGCCTTTACAACAAAACATCATATGATTTGAATAAAAGTAAGCATAATAATTAATTAAAAGACATATGTAATGGACAATGTGACCTGTATGTATCCCACACAGCCATCCCCAGTCACTTCAAGAGGGAGATGCAAGAAGTGAGTATAGTCTGGAAACTGCATTGAACCTATTGTAAGGATTGGTTTGAGTGTATATTTTCTCTCTTCTAGTGGACTGAACGACCACTTCATCGCCTGAAAACAAAATGAAGGAAACTCTAACATTGATAATATGATGCATGCATTTAAACAATGTTTTTTTCTCACTAAGTGCTCATTTGGATGAAGCAGACCGGCAGCTGGCTCCACAGAGACAAGTTCCTGGACTTCCTCTGGAATACTCCATTCAAACCTATCACAACAGACCAGAGCACATACACCAGATTTTACACTGAAGGTTTAAAAGAAAATACATCTATAGTAGAAAAAGGTTACAGGAATTATGAAAAAAAACAATATGACAAAAACGAACCGGAGAGTTTGACGGCTGAGGTTCCTGACATTATGAAGGCGTTGAGTTTGAGAATAAACAGCAGTGGGTTGAAAATGTAATTTCCCATCGGCTTCAAGAGATACGCAAGGTGTCTCAGATTTGCTAATGATTTCAAGTTTCTGGAAAGCAGATAAAACAGTTTTTGGCACCAAGATTCATCCCTCGCAGCCTTAGATCCTCAAGCATGTCCCTGTTGACTGTTCCAAGGTCGAGGCTCCGGACGAGAGGTGATAGAGCCTTCTCTGTCCGTGCTCCTCGGTTTTGGAACAACCTGAGAGAAAGACCAGAGAGAGAGAGACCAGAGAGAGACCAGAGAGAGACCAGAGAGAGACCAGAGAGAGAGACCAGAGAGAGACCAGAGAGAGAGCAGAGAGAGAGAGAGTCTACCTGCTCGTGGAGATTAGGCTAGCACCATCCGTAACCTCTTTTAAATTGCTTCTTAAAACTAACTTTTATCAAACAACTTTAAACTGTTGTTTTTTAAACTCTGTTTTGCCTTTGTTTTGTGGTTCTTCATGTGTTTGCTGCTTTATCTTCCTCATGACTCTTTTTAGTTTTTATTATGCTGACTGTGCAGTGCTTTGTAAATATTGTTGTTGAAAAGTGCTATATCAAAAAACGTTATTAATAAAGCAATCAATCAAATAAAAATCCAATCCAATCCAATGAAGATAGAAGGCAAAACATGCAGAAATACAGCCATAGTTTTCATTGGTTAAATGAATTTCCTTTGTGGATTAATAAAAGGCATCAGCATGTTTATAATTGATACCTGTGTGTATTTTGAGGCGTTGAAATGCAGTTGCACTGTGAGGCCTTCTTCGGGGCTGTCTTCAGTGGGGATGGTTCTGAGGGAGAGGATTTGATGAGACTGTGGTGGGACCAGACCACAGCTGGGGACCACAACCAGAGAGGCGGCCTGAGCCAGAGCCTGGTCCAGCTCTGAGTTCAAATCGAAGGTGAGAGGGAGGTCTCCTGTATTCACGAGGAGAACTGAGCGCTGTGAAGCCATGTTTACGGGCGGGAATTCCTGAAGATAGACATGAAAAGAAATACAGATTCAGATTCATTTATTTGCCATTTGCAGTAAAACCACATTGGAAAAACTGTGCAAGACTACCCCGGTGTGCACCAGACAGAGAAACACACACCAGAGCTCTTGCCACGGCGCCATCTTTACGGCGCCATGCAGTATTATTAACCCTTTAGGCGCCTAGTTTTCTTGTGTTTATTTATGTTATTGATTTTAGTAATCCTCTATTTCCGCCTTCGGACTATTTCACATAACATTTCAGGAAAACCTCTGGTAGTCTGTTATTACTACTTATAAAATTCAGTTATAAATTAGGTTAGTTTAGATTATTTAACCTACACAACACATCTTCAAGAAAGGTTGGAAACAAAATAGTCCCAATATGATCTAAAAATAGTTTTCATATCAAATGAAAAAAAAAGATTGTCACATTTGTCACACACAAGCAAACAGACACCTATTCACACACATAGACACACACGCACACACACAAGCAAACAGACACACATAGACACACACACAGGTCCATAGCAACACATTTTTTACTTTATTATTAGAGATTTTATGCTTCCCTATTATGCTAAAGTCAGAGTTTTTTGTACTCACTATGCAAAAGATAGAGATTCAACTATATTTAAAATAATTTGGGACTAGAATAGTTTGGAAGATGTTGGAACATTTGTGATTTTTCTTCTCACCACAAGACAGGGCTGGAGTGAACATCGAGGTACACTGTGCTTTCTTCCGGGTTCATACGAATGTCCCACCACTTTCACAGTCACACAGGAGGGCAGTACGCTTCTTCTATTGCCCTCATCGTTCTCCTACATCAGCGAAAGACACACAAATTATTACACTAAACAAGTACGTGTGGTTATGGCCGATGTGTGAATCCCACCATGGGGTATGCAAAACACTCCAGTTGTGCTCCATGCAAAGCGTTCAGCTGCTTTGGATGATACTTTACTCTAAAGGAAGTGGACTGACGCGGCGGAAGCTCACAGAACAAAGGCGATACGGAGAAGGAAGAACCTGCCGCCGCTGTCCACTCCAGTCTGGAACAGTCAAAAGCAGTGTCAAGTGCACCTCAAATGCAAGAAAACCTATTCATGTTTGCGATTGCAAAGTTGGCATTACCTGAGTTTGAGTTTGCTGTGACTGGTAATCGTCAGGGCCTTTTGAGATGATAGGTTTTCAGGGAGAGAGAAGACTTTCTGGTTGAAAGCGAGAGTGTTTGGTGTGACGGACAGAAGAGGGGGTGAACAGGGTGGATCTTTGCCACCGAGACACGACAGGAAATACTCAGCGTTTGGTGTTGCAGCGGTATGAAAGGAATGCTGCAATATGAGGAAAAAGGAAGTTGTAAATATATTTTGTATATTTCAGCAGGGAAACACAGTCCTCAGAAATATCAAAGAGCGGGCCTCTTATTATCTCAAATCAGTAATACCAAACCATTGAACACATTTTTGTTTATATATGATGAATGAACACTGTTATTTTATTATTGATAGTTTCTAGTTTTGTTTTTACTGCTGTACTTTTCTTGTTTAATCATTTCAGGTCTTAGGTTGATATTTTAAATCTGTCCAGGGACAACCGATAAAAAAATAGCCAAACAGTAATCTTAATTATTCTACAATGTCCCTGTCAAATAAAAGAATAAATAAATAATATTTTGCCATCACAAGAGCCTATAGCTTTTGTATTGATAGAGGGCAATCTTTCCTGGTAACTATGCTAACTTCTAGTCTTAGTTTGGAGCTCATTTCTCTGGTCCAGGTCACGTGAAACAAAAAACTGTCAAAATTGTCAGTACGTAGACGCTTCTGATTATTTTATCAGATAGGTGTCAAGAAAAATATTCAAAAAACAAATGCATGAAATAAGAAAAAATGGGTGGGTGGGAATCTCAAATAATAATCTTTTTGTTTGTCTTTTATAAATGATTATTTCCCATAGAGCTGTATTGGCACCTGCTCTCCACCTGAAAAAGAACTCAACTTATTGTTGCTTTTTAAACATATCACCTTATGAACTTTGCTTGATTCCAGTAACTGTTGAAATGGCTTCTCAATGGGACAGTTACCAACAAGGTTAATGAATACTGGCTCCTGCAGAGACACATTCATTATTAACAAGGCTTTTACATACTTCATACAGATACATTACAAATCCTACCATGTGTAGAATGAGACAGGCCACTCTCCTGTAGTGAATACTAGTTTGTGTGGGTTTATATACAACAGTCAATGAGATGTGGCTTTGTGGCGGTATAGTGCCCTCTGCTGGTTGGATAGAAAACACACTGAGGCCGCTGCAGTCCACATCCCACTGAAATACAGCTTCTGCCACAGAGGAATTCACAAGCTCGACGGTTTGTGTTGCTGCTCGTCCTGGCTCAACAAGGCCAAAATCCACCATGGAGGAAGACAGAGATACTTGGGGACCTAAAGAACACAATAACATATGTATTTGTTTTACGTGCACTTGTTTCTCTGTGAAGCCCTGGAAAAAAGTTTTTGATTTCAAGATAAGATAAGATATTCCTCCATTCGTTGCACAGAGGGGAATTTTCATATTCCACACATCAAACAGGATCTATTACTTAGGATAATAGATAATAATACAAGTAAAATGTTAAAATAATAAGTAATAAGAAAAACCCTGGAGCTATAATTGCACTTGGTTCAGAGGTATTAACAGATGTCTGTTGTTCCTTAGCAGCAGAGAATATGACCAGAATTAACAATAGTAATAATAACAGCAGGTAAAGTGACTAGTGAATTTGCAGAACAGAAATATCAGATGAATGGATATGTATTAATGTAGTAATAATAACAACAGGTAAAGTGACAAGTAAGTCTAGTAAGAGTGCATAAAATCATATGGATATATTTTCTTGTGGTTGTATGTGTGTCTTCTTACCGACACAGCTTCCAGTGAGTTTCAAAAGCCGTTTATTGACTGCTCCTTTGCATAATAATGATAAATACTCAACAAAGGTGTTATCAACTGTAGTAGGAGTGAACGTGGCTGTAGCCTTTAGCGACCCACCGGGAGCCACCTCGGCACTGGTCACGTCGCACCGGAAAACTGAGCCCAACAGGGGAATACCACCGGGCAATCTGGAAAGAGTGAAACAGACGGGAACCTGAAGAAAGATGATGTAAATGAGAGGCCATGTAATTTTCATATCTTTGTTATTTCTACACAATACTCACAGGACAAGGGTTATAAATCTCAAAGTGACTATGCAAAGTGTGGCCAACTGCAGCACCACCAAAATCCAACACTGGGACATGATCGAGTCCCTTTTTTTGGTTTGTGTGAGCTTTAAATTCAAGGTAAGGGTGCTTGGCTGCAAACAACAACAGTGGAAAGATTAAAGTTGCTTCTTTCGATTTGCATATTTACGGTTTAAGACGAAGACAAATGACTCATATGAATAATAGCTCTATACTAGACAAAAAGAAAAGAACAACTCTAACTCTAGCATAAAAAGAAGCAGTATAAAATCTCTTTCTTTAGCATTATAAGGAAATAAGTCTAAAATCTCCATCTTTAGCATGATGAAGAAGCTGGACATACAAAAAGTAAAGTATAAAACGCTGTATAATCTAGTGAAAGTAATAGTTGTGTGTATACATCTGTACATGTAGTATAGCAGGAGGCTCCAGGACAAAGTGCCTCAGTGACAGTAACACATCTGGTTCTATATTGGTGTTTATCATTTCATTTTCAAATCATTTTTTTTCATACATAGTTAGCCTATTTAAAAAGCTGTTTGTGACTCATGTATTTGCCGGGAGTGGCACAGTAGTATCAGTTAGGGCTAAAGCTATTTTGGTTAATTTGTATGTTTTTTGTTGTAGTTGCAAAGTCTGCGGACACATCTGGCCAGTACCCACAATGCAGTTGTGATTTGCATTTCAGATAAAGTGGAAATTGCATTCATTTAATTTCAATATGGAACAAGAAAATAATACATCACCTCTAAAATATACTGTATTATTAAGTGGGGGTGATTTGTGGCCATGCAAGTCTACAATAATCCATCTTGAAAATTGTGTTAAAGTATTGCCTGTTTCAAATCAGCTGTTTGTATGCAAATTATTTCAACTGGAATGATAATAGTGATACTGGTATGTATTTGTTATTTTCTTTTTTAAAGGTGAAACATATCAGTATATCATATCATGAAACATTCATTAAACTTCCCGGAATATTGTGTTTATTTATCCTCCTGCAGGTGGTGAGTCCACAGGAGCTTTGACCTTCCAAGCGGGGACTTCAGGCAAAGTGGTGTTAAGTGCCCAAGGACTCAACAACAGCAGACATCAGTGGGAGTTGTGAAGTAGGTCTTGTGGTGGGCTAGAACCCACAACCTTCAGGCCAATGCTCTACCAACTGAGCCACTGTCTTGGTTAAAGCATTCCTTAAGTAATTTGGTACTTATAGACAGACAATTATCTATTTTAATTGGAGAACTCTAAGTTACTCTGCATATGAATAGTGCTATAAAAATACACCTGCCTTGCACAGAACCATTATGCTATAGAAATGTAAAACATTTATCTTGTTTTCATTATTTGTGGTACCTTGTCCTTGAAGCAGAAGGCTGCAGCAGCGCTCTAAGTTGTCCGCCTGATTCCCAAACCTGCAGGAGACACTCTGCTGATGGACCACAGCTTCCTGAGGGTGGAAGGTCACAGAGATGTCCAGTCCATGACCCGGCTTTAACTTTCCTTCATTTGGACTCAGCGTGAATGGTTGTGAATACTCCCAATGGAAGAAAGTGGTGAGCTTACTGTCAGAGAAAAAATCATGTATTACCATTTCCTAACATTAAATATTACAGCAAATGATGAAAAATATGTAAAAAGTAAAAAACTAAGTAATAAGTTTGTACTCAAACTAAGATTTTTTTTTTAAAAACACTTGATTCAACCAATTATAATCTCATATATGTAAAAATATGTTGCAGTAAATCACAAACCCTGATCCATGCATCCATATCCTCCAGACTCGACTTCTGCAACAGTCTTTTATATGGCCTTCCTTCATCTGATCTCCAAAAACTACAATATGTCCAAAACTCCGCCGCCCGCCTCCTCACTCAGACCCGCTCCAGAGAGCACATCACCCCTGTCCTTCAAAAACTCCACTGGCTCCCCGTTAAACGGCGCATCCATTTCAAAATCCTCCTCAGCACCTACAAAGCCCTCCGTAACCTCGCCCCTCCTTACCTCACTGAACTTCTTCAGCCCTACAGTCCCTCCCGCCGACTCCGATCTGCAGACTCACATCTCCTCACTCCCACTGTCAAATCTAAACACCGAACCTTGGGGGACCGAGCTTTCGCCATCTCTGCTCCCACTCTCTGGAACTCCCTCCCCCTCCATCTCAGAAACTCGGACTCTCTAAACTCCTTCAAAAAACAGCTCAAAACTCACCTTTTCCTCCGAGCATTTGACTCTTAGTTTAAACTTTCTACCCTTCTTCCTCACTCTTAGATTTTTAGTTTGTGTGTCTGTCTAAACGTGTGTGTTTGTGTCATGAATTTGTGAAGCGTCTTTGAGTTCTTGAAAAGCGCTATATAAAACTGATGTATTATTATTATTATTACAATCCAATAGTATGAATGGAAGTTGGAGGCTGTATTTTTTACCTGATGTTTTTTAACACAAACGTGGTCTGTGTGGAGTGATGGGCAGCACAGAGTGGCATCAGCACACTCTCTGGCACTTTGAGGGCGTGACAAGGCGCTGGGGCTCGGAGCGTGACTTGGAAGCTGCCAAATCCGCTTTGAAACTCAACAGTGTCTTCATAGTTACACTGTCAACACAAACACAAATACACTGAAAAACACATAGAGAAATCATTTTAAAAATGTACAAGGAAATATTAGATTTTATTTTACCCTATCGAGTGGTTTAAAAGTTATTGGTACTGAGAAAGACGATCCTGGACGGACAACAATTTTCTGACGAGCCAAGGATGTGAAATACTTTGAAAGAGGAGGCCTGTATAAAGAGTAGGAGATGCAAAAATATACGTTACTTTTGTATTCTAATATAGTGTAACCTCCATTATAAGTTTAACCTGAATAGTGTTCTCTGCAGTTTTGTTTGTGTGTTCTTTATGATCAAGGTCTTGGTGAACTCTCTCCCCGGGTCCCAGTTGTTCCAGATGAGCTCGACGTCCACCTCAAAGCCCAAGAAGTTACTTTTTGGGCTGGATGCAGGTTGCTGTCCATACTCCACAGTACGATCTCTTTGACAGTCGAGCTGTCAAAGAGATGTTTTTTTGTGTCATATATCGTTCAATCAATCAATCGAATCTTATTTATAAACCGCTTTTCATACAGAAGATGCAACACAAAGAGCATTAAAGTTTGGTTGAAATAATCCCGCTGGCCCATGACCCCTCCACCCGACCACCCAACAGACCCAGCCCAAACCACTAATATTATTAAGAACTCACACACGTGCAGACAAACACACACAAACGCACACACGCTCTCGCACACTCACACACGCTCTCGTGCACGCTCACACAAGCACACACAGACACGCACACACACACACACACCAGTAAAACAGTAAAACCATGAAGAGAGACTTGGCAGGGTTCAGATGCAACCAGCTGAAAAAGTGTCATCCTAGGAGCCGTCTGCACCAGGAGCAGAGAGCCGCCTGCAGCCACAGGGGACGGCACAGGACCCAGAGGACACATGAAGTCAAGGCTCCAGGCCCCCACCAGGTCCAAGAGTCTGACCCCTACAGCCACAGCCGACCACCGCTCCCAGTGAAGAGGGCTCCTCCAGAGGAAACACTGGGGATACTAAAAACCATTCAATATAAAAGTAAAACGTTAAAATGTGAGACTACAGGGAAACTATAACACGATACATTAATAATGGAAATAACAATAATAAGTGATAAAGCTAAAATAAAATGTGTCTAAAAGATAAAGATTATATAAAATATGTAAAATTCTTTCAAAACGGAGATATCCTTTTTTGCACATGAACTCTTTGTTTATCTAGCAATAGCTATAATCTGTACTTATTATTATTATTATTATTAATGTTATTATCATTATTATTATTATATTATTATTATTATTATCATTATTATTATTATCATTATATTATTATTATTAATATCATTATTATTATCATTATTATTACTGTTAGATTCCTGTCAGGCGAACTCCAGTGTTGGTGACGAGTTTCTGCAAGCATAGCTGAAAAAAAAGACAATACAGAATTACGATTATAAACGTAAAATATGTAGCTTATATACTAAACGCGCGAAGCACAATGCTAACAGTGTAAATAAAGACTGGCGTTACCTTCCTACACGTAGGGTTAGAGCAGAATGATAAAATGATAAGGTAAAAATAACTCGTTTATTAGAAAAACAAAGTGACAGAAATATTGTCTCACCTCGAAGCTTATTTAGGCTTGTCTCTGACTCACAATAATACCAAACACGGCTTAAATAATTCCCGCTGAATAAACAGGGCATGGGTTTGCAAAGTTGACCGCTCCGGGTTTGCGTTACCATGACAACGACGGCACCTGTAGAGGGACAAGAGGGACATCCGCGAAAAGCAAAACATCGTCGCGTGCGGATTACGTTTCTTTCCCTCTTAATGCTAAATGTATGGTTTATGTTCTAATGCCATATGTCAAAAAATTATTGTACAACTTCTCCTGTGTTGCCCGGATGTTTACACACCTTGGAAAAACCTTTCAAACATTCAAACCACAAATATAACTAGAAACTTGCAATGGCTGAAGCCATTGCGATTGACTGCGGAACAGATCTAATGTGGAAATCTGCTAAAAAAAATCCTTGAAATCCTTTAAAAGGCCTTGAAACTGTTAAAATACTTGATAGATATTTGAAACTCCTGAAGTCCTTGAAATTGTTGAAACCTTTAAACTCCTGAAATCCTTGAAACTGTTGAAACATTGAAACTCCTGAAATCCTTGAAACTTTTTTTAAACCTGGAAACTGTTGAAAGTGTGGAAACTCCTGAAATCCTTGAACCTCCTGATATCCTTGAAACTGGTTAAATTCTTAAACAGTTGAAATCCTTGAAACTACTGAATGTATTGAAAGTGTCCTTGAAACTGAAAAATCCCCTCACCGCTGAAACAATTTGGTTCCTGTAATAAGGAAACCTGGTCTGTGGTCATTATCTGGTGGTGGTCTGAGTCTTCGTTTGGTCTTGGTCTGGTGGTATAATGCCCTATTAGGTTCATTATACTGGTTTACTGAAAAATCCCTATTAATTTTGGTTTACATGGAAAAATCCCTATTAGGTTGCATTATACTAAGGAAACCATGGTCTGTAAGGTCATTATACTGGTGGTGGTTGAGTCTTCATAGTACAAATCCCTATTAAGTTGCTTTATACTGGTTTACATGTAAAAACCCCTATTAGGTTACATTATAGTGGTTTACATGTAAAAATCCTTATTAAGTTGCATTATACTGGTTTACATGTAAAAACCCCTATTAAGTTGCATTATACTGGTTTACATGTAAAAACCCCTATTAAGTTCCATTATACTGGTTTACATGTAAAAAACCCCTATTAAGTTCCATTATACTGGTTTACATGTAAAAACCCTATTAAGTTGCATTATACTGGTTTACATGAAAAAAACCCTATTAAGTTGCATTATACTGGTTTACATGGAAAAATCCCTATTAAGTTGCATAATACTGGTTTACATGGAAAAATCCCCATTAAGTTGCATTATACTGGTTTACATGGAAAAATCCCTATTAAGTTGCATTATACTGGTTTACATGGAAAAATCCCTATTAAGTTGCATTGTACTGGTTTACATGGAAAAATCCCCATTAAGTTGCATTATACTGGTTTACATGGAAAAATCCCCATTAAGTTGCATTATACTGGTTTACATGGAAAAATCCCTATTAAGTTGCATTGTACTGGTTTACATGGAAAAAACCCTATTAAGTTGCATTATACTGGTTTACATGGAAAAAACCCTATTAAGTTGCATTATACTGGTTTACATGTAAAAACCCCTATTAAGTTGCATTATACTGGTTTACATGGAAAAATCCCCATTAAGTTGCATTATACTGGTTTACATGAAAAAAAACCCTATTAAGTTGCATTATACTGGTTTACATGAAAAAACCCTATTAAGTTGCATTATACTGGTTTACATGGAAAAATCCCTATTAAGTTGCATTATACTGGTTTACATGGAAAAATCCCTATTAGGTTGCAATGATTACACTGAAGTCCTTGAAAACTGCTGAAGTCCTTGAAACTGCTGAAGTCCTTGAAACTGCTGAAGTCCTTGAAACTGTTGAAGTCCTTGAAACTCTTGAAATCTTGAAACTGCTGAAATCCTTGAAACTGTTGAATCCTTGAAACTGTTGAATCATTGAAACTGTAGAAATGTCTGAAAGAGCTGAAGTCCTATTAAAATGCATGGGCCTATTAAAATGCATTGCAGAATTCTCAATGCAGATTTTTGTCCGATTGCGGAAAAACCGGAAATCGCTGAAGTCCCAAAAGTAATAGCAATAATCTCCCAAACATGTGGAACGTTTTGATGTATAACTTGTGGAAATTGTTGAAAATGTGAAAGCTGTGAAACGTGTCAAAAAAAATGACGGAATAAAGAAATACAAAACCAATGGTTGACTGCGGAAGGTTCCGCAGTCAATCAACTAAACAATATCCATCTAACTTGTCCTCACTCTCAAAACAGCGTGGTTCTATCACGAGGAAGCACGTTTGTCTATTTTAGTGAGTACCTATTGTTATTTATATTGCACCTTTCATAGTCCGAGTACCCGGAGGAACGCTACGCAGACACGTGGAGAACATGCAAACTCCTCTCAGAAAGTCTCTGGAGGTGGAATCGAACTTTTAAACTTCTTTGTGTGAAGCACAAGCGCTAACAACCTGGCCATATGAATATACCAAGCAGATCTACACTGAAAAGAGTAAAATCTTGGTTTGATTTATTTATCAAAACTAAGGATGCTTTTTTTTAAATTGCAAGTTTTGTTGTTGCTTGAGTTTGTCATGTAGGATTATTATACTGATTTTAAAACAATAATGTCATAATCTTAGTAGAGAAAAAGTTTGAGCAGTGAATTTTTAAGCCTATTTTAAGTATTTTTTCCTATTTCCAGACAACTTTTCTTGTTGATCAGGCAAAATAAGTAAGTACGCTATATTTCAAGAAAACCTTTCATTTGTAAATGAGTAAATAATGCTTGAAATGTATGTTTCTGAACTAGAATCAAGTCATTTAGGGCTATGTTCTTTTTTTCATAAATCTTGTCTTTTTTGTTTGTTCTATTGGTAGATTATTGTTATTATTTCAAGCAGTATTTTATTTAATTTCAAATCTTTTTTCTCATTTTTTTTCTAGGGATTTTTTCCAGCGTATGAAAAAGATACCATGGTTTATAACAAGATTTTATTTTATTTTTTAAGTCTTTATGAGCGACTATGTGCATATGCGAGGGCATCTGTTTCTTTTGCTTAAAACATATTTATCATTATAGATCATTGTTTAAGTCAATCAGGATTTTTACCTAAAAAGTTCCTAGCTGAAGGATGATGGCAGAGGATTTTTTTTCAAAAGTACAAATACTACACTACAGTAAGTAAATAATTATATTCCATTGTCTGCAATCGTCATGAGCACTGTTTCCATCAATCCAGATATTTGAACATAGACACATTGTAAATCATTGATGTACATGTTTTATATCATAGTGAGAAAAAAAAATATCCATGACCCATCCACTCTATACCATATATTATATAAATAATAAAAAAAAACTAGTTCCAGAGACACAGGAAACCATAGGACAATTTTATTTTCAACAATTAATTTCCACAAATACAAACATTATCATTTTAACGTAAATATATTACTTCTATTAAATAAAAAGTAAGCAATTCAGATTCACATTTCATAGGTACACATGAGAAAGAAAAGCAACATAATCAAATCTAACAAGTTACAAAATAATATGGACATGCATTAAATTAAATATCTTTTAAAAGCATTTTCATGGCACAAATTAAGAGCGTAGTTTACAATTTATTGCAATATTATTTCAGAACATGCTCTAGTTGCATGTAACAATGGGAAGCCCTGAGAACATTTTAATACTGACATTTATTATAAAATGTCTGTTTTCAAGTACTTTTGAACTGTACCTCATGCAGCGGCAAACACAGTCTATTGGAACTTTGACAGATGACAGAGACCTCAACATTATTGCAAGTTCATTGGTTTTGTGTGAAAATACCACACACAACTCTCTGTATGGACAGTTTTTTTGTGCATCCATATTCTACGCACATTATTAAAGCTGGGGTCCCTAAGTTTTTGTTTTGTTAATAATACATGTTGTTTCCCCAAATAGAAAAACCTTTGCGAACGTAAAATGTTGTGAACAAACCAGACCACGCCATGCGTCTATATCATTAGTAGAATCAAGATAGAACCTTGTTAGTCACTATTTGACACTTTGGGCTGAGACCTGATTGGCTGAGTGATCGTGGTCCGCTTTATTTCTGAGTGAAAAAGTTGCGCAAAAGATGTGTCAAGAGGCCAAACAATACATACAAGTGAAAACTAGTGTTAGAACCAAGTTATAAAGCAAGGAACTATGGTTATTTGAATGTTACACTGCAAAAAGTGAAGTTAAATAAGTAAAAATGTGCTCCAATTGGGCAAAATGTATTCTAATTTGAGGATATTTTGACTGGATTCAAACAAGATTTCCCAATGGCAACAAGAAATTTCTCACTTGGAAAAGGAACATTTCTTGAAATAACACTTAACTCATTGAATGCCAGCCTATTTCAGAACAGGTACTCCCACAGTGCCAGCCATTTCTGATGATTTTACTGATTTTTCAAGACCCACAGAATATTGTGTACTATGACTATCTGAAATCCGACACCAGATTCTAAAAGAATGGACTGTCTACTTTCCTCAGCAAAAAGAATTTTGTTTATAGCTTTTTTCGTTCCCCTGTAATCCTCCGTTGAGTAGAGGGAAGTTTTACTGAAATCACCAGAAATCACCAGAAAGTTGAGAAAAAAGAGGCACAACATGTGCACCTACATGTTTTCAAACCATTCAGAGAGCAATGCTGCCACCTGCTGGCTCGATAAAATATGGTCTCAAGTCATCCCCATACATATTAGATACAATAGACATCTGGGAACGTGAAAATAGTCAATGGCACACGACGTTATTTGTGCGTCAATGGGACACAACGAGTTAATGGCTTTGTCCCATTGGTGAGTTTTGTTTTAGGACAGTCAGAATGTACTCAATTTAAGACAAAAAACACTCGATTTTTGTCTTAATCATATTTGATCATTTTTTGCAGACTAATTTAATTGCAGCATGTTGCTTGAAAGTGAGGTACCCCAGCTTTAAATGCTATGGACTATGGGAAGGCATCGTTCCTTGTTCTCGGGTCGCTCTCCTCCACCTCCTCCTCAGAATACGAACTGTAGCTTTCCAGCGTGTGTCTGGAGAGCGTTGGCCTCAGTGCTTGGAGTTCCTCTTTCCCCTCTTCCTCCTCTGGGTCCTCCTCCTCCTCGTCATCGTCGTGGATATTGGAGTGGTGCAAGTCGCCCTGAGACTTGCTGGAGCAGCGGATATCATTGTTCAGAGCGTTTCCCTGCTGTTCTTTAGCTTTGCGGCTGCGCTTCCACTTCATGCGTCTATTCTGGAACCAGATTTTTACCTGGAGAAAGATAAAAGGCTGTTTATGATAAATAAAGAGAGCGATTATTTTTTGTCTGTCAATGTAGCAGCCTGTGAGTCCAAGACACATTTCCTCTGGGACATAATACATTCATATTGAATCTTGAATCTTGAGTTACTCTTTTGATTCATGGGCAAAATGCATGTGTCCAGCAGCAGAAACACATCCATCCATACAGACATCAACAAATACTTCATTCTAAAAGTATGTAGCTCAGACAGACAGAAAAAAGGTTTCTATAGAATAATGCATAAGATGAAAAAACATTGGAATACATTGGTGTAATTCTATTTTAGTTTCCTGTATATTATGTATCATATCATGTTTTCTGCTGTTTCTTTTTTATTTGTCCTAAATCAAGTAAACTTGTATTAATTTATTTAACCTAGAGCAGGAGAGTCCCACTGACTGAGTCTCTTTTTTCAGCAGAATAATGGGCCCTGATAAGGAGGGCCATTTGTACGTTGTATGTTTTTAGGAGAAACTAGAGCACCCAGATGAAACCGGAGCACCCAGAGGAAACCAGAGGAAGCCGGATCATGGGGAACCACAGCACATAGAGGAATGGCTAACCACACCTAGCCACCTGTGCTGCCAGGATAGTGACAGGTGCATCCGTTCTTGACACATATTGTTAATATGAATTCATAAATACAGTATCTACTATATATCACAAGGAACCTCTCAGATGTGGTCCAGCAGATTGAAAAATAATAAAGAAAACAAACATTAAAACAACAAACAAACATAAAAACATTTACAAAGTGTAGAATTTGCTGCAAACTTTTGAGGAGAAATGCACTTGTAATAGGGACTCTCATGTATTTCCAAAGTATCCATATCCTATAATTTGGTGAAAATCTACTCTAAATTCAATCAACCAGTATAATGTTAGTGTTAATTTCCTATTGGCAAAAAAAAACAAGGTTTATTGTAATACCTGAGTTTCTGTGAGCATGAGAGATGTGGCCACCTCAAAGCGTTTGGGTCGGGACAGATACTTGTTGAGTTTGAACTGGTTCTCTAACTCCAACAGCTGCTGACTGGTGAACGCCGTCCTGGGCCGTCTGCATTTACCCAGCAGTCCTGTCTGAGCCTGGGCTGGAAGAGAAGACAAAAGTATCGTTCTGTGTCGTACACAAATCTTTATTATTGAGATGCATTGTGCGGAGCTGCCCCCTGCCTCGACATGGGCTGTGAAGGAGCTTGTAAACATTTATTGTCATGATGTATACAGGCTGCGAGAGGATATTGCTTCAGATGGGTCATAAACCACCACATGGGTCCATTACCTTAATGAAAACACTATAAATGTTATCAATTGATGAAGTAGTGTTGGTCAGTTACAGGTGGGACCTGGCTGTAAACGCTGCACGTTGGTTTTATGAGCTAATTGTCCTTAAGCATCTCAATGTCACAGTACGTTCGATAACATAAGTCTTTGAGAATGTTCTCTCAATTTACCAAACAGATGGTGATCGTGATTTATCAAAGCTGCCTTGCAGCTGCTGTTAGGTTTTACTTAATGAACACTTCCTCACCTGCAAACTGTGTCATTCTGATCCTTTTATTAACACAAGTTTAATTAGCATATTGAGTTGTACTTCTGCTATGTCAAGAATAAAAGAAAAATATGTTAACATCATATTTTGCAGTGGTATTAAAGGTTACGAAGGACTAACAATTGACCTACATATAATTTGTGAAATATGATTGGGTCTAAACCATGAACATATTATACATTTTACGTTTAAATGTATTACTATTTCAGACAAAAGTGACCAAAACAATTCCAAATTAAATCTGTTTTTGTGTTTTTGTGTTTCAGACAACATAAGATTTCTCATAATTGAAATGCATTATGATTGAGGAGTGAAAATTTCTCAAATAATCTTTTGTTTTACTTCAAGTACTGAGATAAGAAATGTATTACTTAGAGAATATGCTACAAGTTTACTGTTCTGTAAAATATTTTCATGAAGAATCCGTAAAGAATTACAAAGTATTACAAATACTAAAGTATTTGTTGATATTTCCTTAAATATCAACAAAAACTTTCTTGCAGCGTGGTTAGCAGACAATTTCAGACTAAAGACTGATCTAATCTATTCTAATGCATTCACTTATAGCAAATCCAACGTCTTCAAATGTTAGCTAAACAATACTGAAACTATAAGCATTCTGAAGCTAAATTGTGTCCATGGTGTGAGTTCCCACTCCATTTCGAGCTGATAATTTCCAAATAAAATTGTACATGAGTGCACAGTAAAACCTGACAAGTTGAATCAACTCAAACGACTCATGTAACTATTTCTGCTTGAATGAATGAATGAATAACATACATTAAAAGAAAAACTTCATGCCTTATTTCAGAATAGTTTTTGCAGCGCAGGCAAAGGAGCGCTCTTACCTCCATACTCTCCCAGTCTGGGCATCATCATCCCGGCTCTGATCCAGGGCTCCAGCGCCACCCCTCCGCTCATTGAGGCACCTTTGAGATGCTCTGCGTACGGATGCATGAGGCCCGCGAAGCCTGGGTAGAGAAAGGCGGGGTGCTGTCCTCCCAAAGCCGCCAGAGGATACATGGATGCTGGGTGCACTCCGAGCATACCTGCCCCGTGTGGAAGGTGCGTGAGCGCAGGTTGGGGCAGGCTGAGGAGCGGGTGTTTGGTGGACAGGGCTCTGGGCTGGAGGGGCCGGGTGTTCTGTGGATGTGAGGGCGGGGATGGAGTGTCTGAGCCCCGCTGGGACAGGGGGCTGCTGCTGGTGGTGCTGCTGCTGTACCTTCCCGGGGAGCCTCCGTCGCTGTCTGCGTCATGGGCCAAGAGCGCGTCGATGCGAAAGTTTTTAGACTTCTCCATCGCGACTGTCATTGTGTTCTACTAACGCTAGTAAGGAACAGCGGGGTCCTCTTCACTCTGACAAACTTTACTTTAGAGCTCTATTGTTTGGCCCTTCCACTGAAGACGTGACACTCTTCTGAACCACTCCAGTCCCGTGCGTAAAAAACACAATGACTGCGCGTAAAGTCTGCAGGGCTGTGATTGGTCAGAGCTCCGAGGCTGGATTTAATGGCCTTTGGCTAATGGCTCTTTCTTGTGTGTAAAATCTATATAAGCCCCACACCAGAAGTGAAAGGATAGAGAGCCAGCCTAATTAAATCTGTTAAATTTAATAGGCGCTGGAAAACATGTCAACCACTCATAATTATCTAAGAAGGACTTTGAAATTGAAAGAGCCAATTGAGGCTATATATGAAACAATATATGTTTAGTTTAGTGAGGTAAATTTGTAATTTGATTTTTAGCTATTTCTATTGTACTAATTGGACTTTTAAAAACATATTTCAAATGAGTTGAAAATGGTGGAAGTGTAGTCCCAGCTTTTTTCCATAGTCATAATTTCAGTTTTTTTGTAATAGCAATTTTAGTATGTTCCTTGATTTCCTTTGATTGTGACTAAAATAGTAAATAGAGTTAACTTTAAAAGGAATATATTACAGAAACATGTTAAACCTAACACTGTATTAGCCTGGAATATTGTAACCTGCGTATTTAAATGTGTTGTGTTTTCTCTGTGCAGCACTTTGGAAAGTTGTTCTAAAAAAATTGCTATATAAATAAAAAATAGTATAAAATTGAACCTTTGTCCGCTGGTTTGTAGCAAAATCCACATCACAAAAGACATCAATTATTAGTCTTTTGACAGATTTTTTTTTGTTGAAATTTACTTTTGGTTAAGATTTATGAACATTTATAGACATTGGTCGTTACACTTCGGATGAATTTGCTCCTATGTGTTTGTTATTGTTGCATTTCCTGTTTTCAATCCGATCTGTCGATAACTTGCGGTTGTCATATAGGGGATAAACAAAAATAAATCCAATTGAATTTTTGCAGACACCGTGTGCAACCGTCTGTCTATAGGTGAACAAATTACAATAGTAAAACATATGGACGTGGTTGTTTCGTTTATTACAGTAATCTGAAGAAATTAATCAGTTTATGAGGCGAGTTTACTGCCTGTTTCAGATGACACTTGTTATCAGGCCTTATGGTGTGATCTGCAGTCATAATGGAGCTGTAAAGTGGCAGCCAATAAACTCATTTGGTCTCCTCACAAATCATAATAAAACCAAGACATTGGGAAAAGTGTTCAAGTGGTAAGATTTCACCTTTATGACAATAGAATCTTGTGGGTATGTCTCATGTGCTACTGGGCACAAGCCAGGGTGCCTTCTTGGATGACCGGCGGTGTTTGATATGAAGAATATGATGCATTGTGGGTTGTGACAGAAACTGGTGTATTTGGTCAAGAAATTGACCATTCCACTTTATTTACTGTATATGCGTAGCACATTTTATAAAGCAAGTTTCTAAAGCCAACTGAGCATTGGCCCTTGAGCCTGAAGGTTGTTGGTTCGATCCACCCACGAGACCTACTCCAACTGCTCTCCCTGAAGTCTGCTTTTGTTTTTTCCTTGTGACACTGAACCCCACTTTGCCCGAAGCCCCTGCTGTAACACCAGGTCTGCACCATGTCTTCGAAGACGGAGCAGCCATCTTCTGTCGGAGGATCAGCGAGGGACTGGTGCTATGAGCATTGGGTGCAGCTCTTGTTGACACCCCCCAACCAAATGGACTGATAAAGGGGTGGAAAAATGAGTGAAAGAAAGAATGAAAGTTTCCAAAGTGCTGTACAGAAATAAAAATAACGCATTTGGTTAAACATCCAACCATCCATCCATGTTCTTCCCCTTAAGTTCTCTTGCAGACAGAGCTACACCCAGTAGAGGTATCACCAGCCCCTCACTGATCCTCCTGCAGGTGGTGAGTCCACATGGAGTCTTGATCTTCCAGCAGGGGCTTCCAGCAAAGTGGGGTTAAGTGTCTTGCCCAAGGACACAATGATGTCCATGTCCAATGTCCAATGAGATTTCTTGTTTAAACATACAGAAAAAAAACAGTGAAATGAAATAACAACGTATGAAATGCATGAAATATAAGCAATTAAAATAAGATGAAAACAATAAAATATCAATTAGTATGTAAATAATAGGGAGTTGTCTACAGGTGTTAACATATTTGTTCTTATGGTCAAGCCTGCATCTTCTCAGACCAAACTTGATTTTCTGGAAGTCCATGACATTTCTTCCACAGTATAAATAGGAAGCATACCTGCTATAATAATTGGTACCAAAAAATAACATAATACTGATACAGCAGCAGTCGATGAAGCAGAAAGCCAGGGCCAGATTGACTTGATTGTCCGTGTCCAAGTTTTACACGTGTTACTTTCGGATACATAATTGCGGAGGGGGGACATTAGTGACTTCCTGCCGGTTTAGTGCGGATAGATAAGAGCCCTGGGAAAAACCCACTGATCTGACCTCAAACACACATTAGCACCTGTTCATCCAACTCACAAAACTATTTAACATGACTGTTTATTTTGGTTGTTAATGTATTAGAACTGAAGAGTGGTATAATCATGCATTTGTGTCAGTCCCTAAACAGTACACTGAGAAAATATTATGAGAAAAAAGTCAAACATTGGATTGTGCAAAATGTACCTTAATATGAGCGCATTTAGTTCAGTTCAGTTTATTTGAGCTCAGAGCGACATACGATGCAAAAAAAGACAATGTTTTTTATAAAGCTCAAAAGACACGCCTTAACCCTTCATTGCATGATTAAATGACATACATATTTTAGATATTTTTTTTAATGATCTATTTATATGTTTTGTTTGTATGGACACCTGAATTTCTCTCACGAGGATAAAAAAAATAGCTATCAATGTATCTATATATCTGTCTATCTGACTACATATATGAATTACATTCTGTCTGCCTTAAAACCAGATTTGCCAAAGGAACATGCATAATTACTTAAAAAGATGCAAGAAATACCTTGATCCAGGCTTGTCCAAACTAAGGTCCGAGGGGCAATTGTGGCCCGTTTTATTCTGTTTTGTGGCCCTCTGCCTTGCTCATACAAAGTAACATTGAGATTATAAATACAATTTCCTAGTGTCATCCAGCCAACTTCAGCGCCACCAATAAAGGGATTTTATACCTCTGTCAGGAATGAAGCAGACAGAGACGGATCGTGGTGCGCCAAACTCTGGAAGTTTATTTAAGTTTCTCTCAAGTTCCAGTGGTTTCCATTGTTTCTTTCTCTCAGACAAAATGGAGTCAGTACACAGTTTATATAGTCATTGTCACGTCACACATCGAAAGACATACGTGTCACACAGAGACAGTCACATCATAGTCATAACATGGAGTCCTTGTACAGTCCTGCACGTACAGTAGGCCATATTGCTATCTAATACTAACACCTCGTTATAAATTGCAGAACACCTTGATTCCATTCATGTGTATAAACTTACATTTGTTTTTCCATTTTGTCACACAATTCTATGGCACTGATGCACCTTTTGAGGTGAGAAGTTGCCATTCAGCCAACTTCACACCTCGCTATTCATTCTTCATACCCAACTTTTTATTTCAAAATGCGGTAATTCCTGTTTTAAATCCATGTTGTTGGCCCTTCGACAAGTCTAGAAAAGTTAAGCAACCGTTTTCTAAAAAGTTTGGACGCCCCTATAATCAAACCTCTATACTCTTTATGTTAAAAAAAACACACAATCTTAACACAACCGTTCATTAAAAGCAGAACTGCACAAAGCTGAGTGACCCTTATAGACAAGTGTAGTATTATTATTGCCTTTATTGTCTTTGGCTTGTTGTCACCACTTAACCACATGCTCTGGGAGAATCCAGCTGCTGTAAAACAAGCCGTAAAATAATTATTTGCCTCTTATTGTATCCAGTGAGAGATCTGAACACATATTAAGTTTGTTTAAAACTTCTGATATCCGGCTGTACATAGCAACCTGTCAGATAAGCGTATATGGACACGGCATTCTAAATTTCACACCTTCCCATCTCAGATATTGTGTTGGTAAGATAACAGGATTTATAGTTATCACATAGATACGCTGTAATAAATCATATATAAGGCTTTTTGTTACTATCTCATTCATTCCCCTTGAAACAACATTAATATATTTTATAATCTTGTTATGTAGAGTACTGACATGTGGTTTTATTTGCTGGTGCTTCAAAATAATTTCTTCACTTCCTTGTTACACTGTGGGCAATTACAATTATAATTTTATTAAATTAAAAAAGGTCAGTGTTGGCCCATGCATGCAATCTACAGGGTATATATACTATTGCCATCTGTACTGATTATAAAGTACTAATTAATTCCCTGTATTTTTCTTTGGCACAACAGTCGCAACAGTTCAAACACAGGAAATGTAGTAATTCTAAAACACATAGGAGAACGGGGCGACCAAAAAGGTTAAAAAAAAAAAATGCGAAAGAAAAAAAGTGTTAAACAAAAAAATTAGAATAAAATGGAAAGAAAAAGGGGGAAACAAATGAGCCGAGTTGCCAGAACTCACCGTGTCAAGATAATCTCACTGGTAAAGTAACATGTGGCTGCAGACCTAAAAAAAAGTCTTCTTATGGTTCTCAAATCATTAATGACAAAAGAGGATTTCTATCGAGGCCTTTTTGAAAAAGGTGTTGATAATAGATTTGTTGTTGACAAAACTCTTGTCTATTCAGATGCTATGGTTCCAGCTGGATTCGTCTGTATATCTGGCAACCCGAGTCTGGGAGACAGGGAGAGGTTGCTGTACTGCTTTTGGACAGATTTTTACATATTGCTCTTTTAACTTTTTAACAGTATTTTATGTTTTTGTTTTGCCTGTGTAATACCTGTGTCACAGCAGACCATGGGGAACAAAAGTCAATGAAATGTCATGCAGAACTTTTCAGTCATGG